CACGCGACAAACAGGGCTGACGTTTCAAATTTAGGCACTCTGATTCCAACCTATAAAAAAAAATTCCACTCTGAAGGCACTTCGGCCAGAAATTAGGCACTCTGATTGGTCAGTGTTTAGAAGTCCGCGTGTCTGACCAGTCAGTGTCGGTGGGTCCGCATCAGGGTTAGTCCTCGTGCACACCTCTGCCCGGCCCATGTCGGTGGCACTCTGGACTAGCTGGTGTGAATGGCTTGTGACTCGGTTGTCAGAATCCCAGTCACTAACCACTGGGATAAAAGGGCTTGTTAATATAGCGGGTGAGTGCGCCCATAACCCCCCAGGCCGACGTGCCTGTAACCCTTCCCTAGGATCATCGGGGATCTCCAGTGGACCTCTGACACCCCCCCGCACTGGGATGCCCGAAGTGCACACACCGGGAATCGAACCCGAGACCTTCGCTCTGATACCATGTCAGAATCCCAGTCACTAACCACTGGGATAAAAGGGCTTGTTTGTGTAGCGGGTGAGTGCGCCCATAACCCCCCAGGCCAACGTGCCTGTAACCCTTCCCTATGATCAATCGGGGATCACCAGTGGACCTCTGACATCGGTCACTCGGTAGATTGTTGTAGCAGGAAGTGCGCATTTTGTGTATGTACAGTACCTGGCACAGTGCGACCTGGCGCCACAGTACCTTGCTTGCACGTGCCAACTGCCCGAGCTGCTGCAAAGATGAGCTGGCACGAACTGTTACACGCGCCTGGCAGTAACTTCAACCTACGAAACAGTGACGATATCACACATTTTTGCGCGGAGAACATCCGATTTCAGTACCAAAAAGTTCGATATCCTACTTGCGGCGAGATATCCCCCCTCCCTCCCCCCGATTGTCTGTAAAGTTCTCCGATTCGTTGAACGATTCCTGTGGGATCACCTCTGCCAACTCGAAGGTGAGTATATTGGGAAGAAGTTTCCAGGAAACTTCGTCTCAATAAACCCGCATCCAAGGACCACAGAATGTATACTCTGTAGAGTCAAACTCAAGAAACGACTAAGTCTGAAGCCTATTACATGGAATCAGGGGCCCTAAAACGATAAGTCTGAGGCACTCAGTGATGAAAAATTGACTACTCTGGAAATACATTTTCCACAAAGTGCAAGGTCTAATTCGTCAGACTAATCAGACTAAATAGTCTGATAGCGTCAGCCGAACCACTCCCGAGTCGGCCCCCGCACCAATCGCAACCATCACAGAGCCATCGTCGCCCTACCTTTTTTCTTAACTACAACTTCCCCTATTAATTCATGCCACTTTCATTGTACACCCTCGTTCTCACCCTATCTCACCAGCGGGAGCACGGGCTACAGTGTTTGGATGTAGCGGGCTGGTGAGATACCGTAAAGTGCCACCTATAGGACCCGCCGGTAAGAGGGTCCCCGGGACTCTTGAAGGAGTAGGGGGACTCTTATTGCGGCAGGTTTTGTGAGGACCCCCCTTTTGCCCCTAAGCATCATAAGACCCCCCTTTTCTGTATACAGTAGTTGTTATTGCTATTGTGAGTCAGCCTTTATTGGCAACAAATCGAATTCTGACACACTTTTTGTGCCAGACTCGAATTCTGACACTTTGTTTGTGTCAGACTCGAATTCTGACACATATCCGACGCGCCGCTCTCGCGAACTTTGCGCACGAAGGCTGTTTTCCGTTACGAATATAAGACCCTCCCGCCCCAAATTAAGCCGTACACCCTAAAAAATAGAATGATAGTTGATAAATAAGTGTACCCCGGGTCTTAAAAATTTGCAACCGCCATAATGTCCACCCTAGCATGTTTTGGAGCATTTGTAGAGAGTCCCCCGGGTCCTATAGGTGGCACTTTATGGTAACTTGGTTGCGAGCAAAGTCGCACGAGGCGAGGAAGCAGGACTTGGGCAAACAAAAAACCGTTAACGCTGAATATCCGTCTCAACCGCCTTGAAAACAGCAGTAACATTCCAGAACGTCTAAAACCTTCACTCAACGCCTTGGGTCAAATTGAGTAACGCATGTGATAGGACGCATTCTTTGGTCCGCTGCGGCTACACTAAGCGTCCCGGTCAGCATAACATATGTTAGTCTATCGAGAATAAGGGTGTATCGTCATCGAGTAGTCAATCATTCTCGTTATTCGTTTCACCGCGCACTCTGCAAGTTCATTCATAACATGGGACCTGGAACAAAAACAAAAGCACCTGAAACCGCTGTCGCCGGTGGCGGCCCGAGAGTCTCACGGCATCTGACACGAGCCGCGTTTGAACCCTTGGTATTTTCTTGGCACCGAGTTCCACGGCGAACTGATAGTATGATACCTGGCGCTCCGCATTTCTCTTTCCTTGCTGGCACTTTTCTTGTAACCTAGTAGCACTTGCCAGCGCCGCATAGTACTTGCAACCGCACTTGCCCTCTGAAAGTATGGCTCTTTATCGACCAGCCATTTCGACCGCCTATAGTGCACCTGGATTTTCCTTCAACAAATCGTCCCATTCGTTTCCATCTGAACGAAGTCACTCCGTTCGGGCTATCCTATTTCGTAGAGGTGACAGTGCCCTTTCGTGGCACCACCCGCAAGTACCAGCCGTAGTAGTAACTCCCTGTAGCATCCATGGCTCACACTGATCTGCGACCCGCGCTCGTCCTCACTGGTGAGTTTCTGTTACTCCCGCAGCCGTTCCTCACCGGTACTAAGTATAATATACCGAATTAAACGCCAAAAATCCAACTAGGATCTCTCAGAATCCGACGACTAACATGAGTCATAACCTCCCTGGCCACGTCTTTCCTTGCGTGCAGTGCTGCTCTCCCTCTCCTGCAGCGCCATCGCCAGCCGCCATCTGCTCCAAACCACCACGGGCGGCAAACGCTGTACGACGACGCTCCGTCACCACTCATGATGCTTCTGCGTCCTGCACTCTCTCGCCGCACGCGCTCTCTCGATGCACGCTCTTTCTGGCCGCACGCGCTCTCTCGTTGCACGCTCTTTCTGGCCGTACTCGCTCCCTCGCCGCACGCGCTCTCGCCGCATGCGCTCACTCGCCGCACTCGTTCTCTCGCTGCATGCTCTTTTTGGCCGCACTCGCTCTTTCACTGCACGCCGATCTCTCTCGTTACATGCGCTCTCTCGCTACACGCGCTCTCTCGGTACACGCGCTCTCTCGCTACACGCGCCCTCTCGCTACACGCGCTCTCTCGCTACACGCGCCCTCTCACTACACGCGCCCTCTCGCTACACGCGCTCTCTCGCAGCGCGCGTTCTCGTGACGGTGCTTCCAGTTTTATAATATGATCCTCGCCTTTCCCATGCATTATTCTCCCTCTACCAACTTTCTCCCCCTCCGCGGTGCGCAGACGTAGCCTCATCGGCGCCGTTGGGCACGGCTCCCTTGACTGGCTCGAGCTCCCTGGATGCCACCGTGTAAGCGCCAAAACCCCAAAACTGAATTCCTTATCAGAGCGTTGAAAACTCACTATCCGAAACCCCAATTTCTCATCACATTGTTTGGCTCATCCATTGTCTTTATTCGACTGGGAAGCTCGGATACTACTCGCTCATGTTATTACGATGTCTGCTCGTCATCTCGTTGACACCTCGCGCACGATATCACGCTGAATGTGCGGAAAGAGGCTCCCTTTATAAGGGGTGAAGGTGTATTTGTCGCAGCAGCCTAGATCCATCGGATGATTTAGCAATCCAAACCCTAAACTGTTAGGATGATTGCAGGGGCAGGGCCCCATTACTATCAGGTGCTCTCGCATCTGCCTGTCTCCCCCAACCTCTCCCTTCCCCTTTCTCCCCCTCTCCCCTCTCTCCCCCTCCCCATATCTCCCCCTGCAGCACGGTCGATTCCCAATCATACAACTTTGTCTTTCGCGTTGCAGGCGTACAATCGTCGATGTTTTCTCCGCTCCCAGTTACTACAAATCCAGCGCCACCGGTAACTCCCTCGTGACCCAGATTCCGTGCACTACATTCAGGTTGGAACCAAAAAGCCTCAATTGGAACTGCACCCTCACCCGAAAAGTGTCACGCACTTCGTCGTACCAGCCGGTCGCCCCCATCACTGCATTGGTCAATGCTGGCATGTTCTCTAACCCCTCGAGCTTCTATGTCTTGGCCACTGTTGACGGATTTCCGGTTAAGGTGCCGGTCACAACAGCTAGTGTGACGGCCCTCTGACAGCAGCAAGGCATTTCCCTGACAGATGACGGGTATTTGGCATAAGGCTAGCTAGACAGATGACGGTACCACAAAAAAGGCTAGCTAGATTTTCCGGCTGGCCGTAGAGGAAAAAACATTCACTGTGGGTCTTTGTGTAAATTGATGTGTATGTGGAAAACCATACTGTGATAAACCAGGCCCCTTTCACCTCTTCCACTCTCACTTGCCTCACCACTCCCATCCCATCGTTTCTCCACCGTATTGCAACCCACTCGTGCAATACTGCCTTTCTTGTACACATCTCTCTATCCGAAAGCTGCGTACGTCTTGAGACTTTGCGTGGGAAGGAAATGCATAGAAATTACTTTTCTAGCAAAGACACACCACCAGCACGTGGTGAACATCCCTACTCTGGTGATCCAGTACAAGGTGAAGGAAAGTATCTCCTAAACTGTTTTCCCACCAAGAAGCCGTTCCTAGTGGTACTACAATCTCCCATCATTCTATTCAAGAGGCAACAGCATCAATGCCACCATCGGTGTACATGTTGCCTTCCAAATACCGTATATAATCCTATATACCAGTGTGTACATTCAATGTTACACCCCACATACGACAGTCACCAATGGAACACTACTACTCGCTAAACCTGAATAAATGGGCCTCCCCTCACGCAACCACTTGCACCCCCTGTGCTGCAACACCACGTGTCCTGCCATTCGACTCAGCAGCAGGCACGGTATCAGGGAAAGCACCGATGTCATGTGCGTCGTCCACCGCTGCAAACGACGTATCAAGGCCCACCGAGAAGACATCCCCCCCTTATGCAACCACTTGCACCCCCTGTGCCACAACAACATCTCTCTTGCCATTCGAGTCAGAAAGCGTGGCATCAGGGAAAGCACCGATATCATGTGCGTCCTCCACCGCTGCAAAGGAAGCATCAAGGCCCACGGAAAAGAGGGCTGGGTCACTGGCTGCTGCATCCTCGTGGAACGCTGCGATCTGCCACGGGAGGGTGGGAGCGGTGAAGAGCAGTGGTAATGAGTGGGACGAGGGCACAAAGAGGTTATTGTTGAAATGTCTGAACAATGGTCGCTGGCCGCTGCATCCTCGTGGAACGCTGCGATCTGCCATGAGGGCGAAGCCAAGGGAGCGGTGGGAGAGACGGTAAGGAGTGGGGAGAGGGGATGCTCTTCTCACTCTCACCATGGGAGTATCCAACCACAGAATTACCCGCTACACAGAACTACCCCCACCATCCCCATCCCCACACGTGTGCAAGAATGGGGTATTCCCCACCATCTGCTTGGGACCAGCCCCCATCCCCTTCCACAGCACCACATCAGCCTCAGCAGAAGCAGCCATTCCCCTGCCCCTCCCACCCCCACTCACCTTATCAGCCATGGAGAGCCCACTGTCAGCAGCGGCCTGCACCCCCTAGCACCCCCTAGCACCTTACAGGCCACAGCAGCACAAGCCCCCCCCCCACCCCTCACCTTATCGGTCATGGAGAGCCCGCTGTCAGCCCGGCCTGCACAGGTGACTTTTGAGTCGACTCAAAACCCAACTCCCCTCATTTTATCAGCCATGGAGAGCCCGCTGTCAGCAGCAGCCTGCACAGGGGGGGTGAGTATCCATCGACACACAGTCCCACCGGCGAGCAGAGAGGACAAGCCCCCCCTAGTAGCACCTTCCAGGCCACAGCACGACCAGCCCCCCTCCCCTCCCCCCTCCCCCACCCCACCCCACCTTATCGGCCATGGCAAGCCCGCTCACGGCAGCAGCCTGCACGGAGGGGGCGAGCAGCCAGTCGCCACACAGTCGCACACGCAAGCAGAGAACCAACACCCCCCAGGACCCCCTACACCACTAGCGGTCACAGCACCACCAGCTTCCCTCCCCCACCCCACCCCACCCCACCCCACCCCACCCCACCCCACCCCACCCACCTTATTAGCCATAGCGAGGCCGCTGATGGCTGCAGCCTGCACGGAAGGTGCGAGCAGCCAGTTGCCACACAGCCGCACCTGCAAGCAGCACCCCTAACAGCACCTGATGGCCCACACCCCTCCTGGCCCCATTTCCCCCACCCCACCTTATCAGCCATAGCAAGGCCGCTGATGGCTGCAGCCTGCACGGAGGGGGCGAGCAGCCAGTCGCCACACAGCCCCACGCGAGTAGAGGCGTCCATTATGCACTCCACGCTGCCTCCTGCTGCTGTTTTTGGGGCGTTCAGTGGCAGTGCCGCTCCCCTGGAGGTGAAATGGGATGGGGTGCGGTCGGGTGGGATGGGGATGGATGGGATGGCGTGCAGTCCAAGGCGAGCAGGCAGTCGCCATACAGCCCCACCAGTGTGGCGGCATCCATTATGCACTCCACGCTGCCTCCTGCTGCTGTTGTTGGCGCGTTCAGAGGCAGTGCCGCCCCCCTGGATGGGATGGGGATGGGATGGGTTGCAGAGTGAGGGCAATCAGCACAGCCCCACTCAAGTGGTGGCATCCATTATGCACTCCACACCCCGCCTGCTGCTGTTGTTGGCGCGTTCAATGGTAGTGCCGCTCCCCTGGATGGGATAGGGATGAGATGGGATGGGTTGGGATGGGGTGGGGATGGGTTGAAAGAGCGTGCAGCACAAGGCAATGAGCCGGACACCACACAGCCCCACGCGAGTGGCGGCATCCATTATGCACTCCACACCGCCGCCTGCTGCTGTTGTTGGCGCGTTCAATGGTAGTGCCGCTCCCCTGGAGGGTGGAGTTTGAGGTGGGTGGGATGAGACGGGGTGGGATGGGATGGGGATGGGTTGAAACGGGGTGCAGCGAAAGACAACGAGGCAGTCGTCACTCAGCCCCACGCGCATGGCAGCATCCATCATGCACTCCACGATGCTGCTGTCTGAGGGGCGTCAAGAGGCAGTGCAACTCCCCTGGATGGTAGAGATTGAAGTGGGGTGGGATGCGGTGCAATGAGGCATACACCACACAGCCCCATGCGTGTAGTGGCGTCCACTATTCACTCCCCCTGTCCATTGTGCACTCCACTGCTGTTCGAAACCAGCACAAGATGCATAACACGTAGGGGCCACCCACCCACCACAGCACCCAGTTAACACTGCGAGCACAGTGCACCCACCAGAGATGGATCGTGTGGAAGAGCACGGCAGGCAGCGAGTCCGTGGGTGGCCGTAGAGTCGACTCAATAGTCACTTGAGCTCGCGAGAACAGCACAGCACGGCAGCGAATGAAAGCACCCACCAGCACGTGAAAGCATGCTACAGCACTCAGGTAACACTGAGAGCAGCACACATCACACCCGCCAGAGCTGGATCGTGTGGAAGAGCACGGCAGGCAACGAGTCCTTGGGTCGGAATAGCGAGGCGACTATTGAGTCGACTAGTCACTTCAGGTCGTGTGAGCACATGAAAGCACCCACCAGCACATAAGAGCAGCACACAGCACACAGCACATCACACCCACCAGAGCTGGATCTTGTGGAAGAGCACGGCAGGCAGCGAGTCCGTGGGTCGACCTAGTGCTGCTGCCACGCCCTCCAGCATCTCCTCCTTCACCCTCGCCGCCCTTGCCAAAGGGATGTTCTCCTGGTTGTCACAGTAACGAGGGGTGGGCATGGCGTGACAAGGAGATGGGTGGGGTTGGCATAAGCATACCGAGGGGCGGGAAGTGTTATAAATCAAAATTTCCGAAGGATATAATAAGATTCATTATTTTCAAACTGGCTTTAGTGATCTCAAAACCACCGATGCCTGTCTCACGCTGAACGGGCCTTAGTGATCTCAAAACCACCGATGCCTGTTTCACGCTGAACGGGCCTTAGTGATCTCAAAACCACCGATGCCTGTTTCACGCTGAACGGGCCTTAGTGATCTCAAAACCACCGATGCCTGTTTCACGCTGAACGGGCCTTAGTGATCTCAAAACCACCGATGCCTGTTTCGCGCTGAACGGGCCTTAGTGATCTCAAAACCACCGATGCCTGTTTCACGCTGAACGGGCCTTAGTGATCTCAAAACCACCGATGCCTGTTTCACGCTGAACGGGCCTTAGTGATCTCAAAACGGGCCCTAGTGTTTCCAACATGTCCCTAACCCACCTGGGGCACTTTGTTGCGCTTGCCATACGCCGCACTGCTGAACACCGTCCAGCACTCCACGCCCTCTCCACCCCTCCGTACCGCACCCGATCCCTCCCCACCGTCCCCTCTCCCTGCGCCCCCCTCTCCCCCCAGCTTGGCGGAGTTGTTGCACATCCACGCGACAGCTGGCACTCCCTCCACGAATGCGGCATCAAAGTGCCCACGTGGCGCGCTGCCATTGGCCAGCAGAGGCGTCTCAAAGGCGATGAGAGACGCCCAGATGGAGCTCAGCTCGAGGCGCTGGGGGGTGAAGTAGGGGAGGGGGTGGGTGAGGAAGGCAGGGGGTTGCGAGATAACAGTGTGGGAAGAGGTGGTAGGCATCTTAAGGGCGATGAGCGATGCCCAGATGGAGCTCAGCTCAAGGCGCTGCGGGATAGAAGGCGGGGGTGGGAGAGGTGGAGAGGGGACGGGGTTGGAGAGGAAGGCGGGGGGTTGGGAGATATCAGAAGGGGGAGAGGAGGTAGGCAAAGGCCATTGGCCAGCAGTCGTGCCTCGAATGCGATGAGAGACCCCCAGATGGAGTTCAGCTCGAGACGCTGGTGGATGGGTAAGGGGGAGGGGGGTTGAAAAGGACGGGGGAGGTGGGTGGTGAGAGATAGCAGAAGGGGAAGAGGTGACAGGTGGATGGAGCTCAGCTCGAGGCGCTAGGGGATGAATTGAGGGGGGGGGAAGTGGTGGGGGGTTGGAGCGAGGAAGGGGGGGGGGGGGGGTTGGGAGATGCAGAAAGGAGAGAAGAGGTAGGCGTCTCGAAACGAAGGGGATGAGCGATGCCCAGATGGAGCTCAGCTCGAGGCGCTGTGAGGTGGTGAAGAACAGGGGGGGTTGGGTGAGGGTGGGTGTTGGGAGACAGAAGAAGGGGACAGTCGACATTTTGAGTTGACTCAAAATGTCTCGAATGCGATGAGCGACGCCCAGATGGAGCTCAGCTCGAGGCGCTGGGGGTTGGATTGGAGGGAAGGGGATGGAAGGGACAGGGGAGGGGTGCGGGTGGGTGGGTGGTGAGAGATAGCAGAAGGGGGAGGGGTGGTAGGCGTCTCAGATGCGATGAGGGACGAACAGATGGAGCTCAGCTCGAGGCGCTGGGGGATGAATTGGAGGGTGGGGAAGGGGGAGAGGGAGAGGGGGAAGTAGTGGGAGGTATGGGAGGGAGGAATGGAGATAGGGGTTTTGCAGGGGTGCAGGAGAGAGCTTTGTGAGCGTCAGAAGAGGGCGGAGGGTTCTGTGAGTGAGGTATGTATGATATGATGGGGGGGGAGATGGATCTCTCGTCTATTTCATCTCGCCTCCATTTTGCTTATACTGTCATCTCCAATCCAGCTGTCATGTGACCGGCACCGCCTCGGACTGTTGCGCCAGAACGTAACGCAACCCCTCTCCTCCTCCCCTCAACCGCCCCCAATCCCCTGCCCTTGCGCCACAACGCCCCCACTCCCCTCCCCTCCCCTCCTCTCCCCTTGCGCCAACGCCCCCCCTCCCCTGCCCGTGCGCCCACCTTCATCTGTCTCGCAATCTTTGGGACCCCCGCGGGAGCGAGGAGACGGTTGGCGCACTTTCCTGGAAGCAGCAGAGACGATGAATATAAGAAGGACCCAGGAAAAGAGTGATGAGGAGCAGTAAGCACTGCAAGAAGCGCGCACACCTTCCCTAGTGCACGAGTAGCAAACACACATGAAAGGGAAACCCTACACCCACACAAACACATGAATGACAACACCGTTGTGTGCAATGACAACCAAGTCAAGCTCCCCTGCCTTGCGCCCTGTCTCCTCCAGCACCCACTTGCCCCCCCTCGCTGTGGCATCACACCACAACTGCAAGAGCGCACACTGACACACTACCATCCCACCCATCCCAACCATCCCAACCATCCCACCCATCCCAACCATCCCAACCATCCCACCCATCCCACCCATCCCACCCATCCCACCCATCCCACCCATCCCACCCATCCCACCCATCCCACCCATCCCACCCATCCCAACCATCCCACCCATCCCACCCATCCCACCCATCCCACCCATCCCACCCATCCCACCCATCCCACCCATCCCACCCATCCCACCCATCCCAACCATCCCACCCATCCCACCCATCCCACCCATCCCACCCATCCCACCCATCCCACCCATCCCACCCATCCCACCCATCCCACCCATCCCACCCATCCCACCCATCCCACCCATCCCACCCATCCCACCCATCCCACCCATCCCAACCATCCCACCCATCCCACCCATCCCACCCATCCCACCCATCCCAACCATCCCACCCATCCCACCCATCCCACCCATCCCACCCATCCCACCCATCCCACCCATCCCACCCATCCCACCCATCCCACCCATCCCACCCATCCCACCCATCCCATCCCACCCATCCCACCCATCCCAACCATCCCACCCATCCCACCCATCCCACCCATCCCACCCATCCCACCCATCCCACCCATCCCACCCATCCCACCATCCCACCCATCCCACCCATCCCACCCCCATCCCAACCATCCCACCCATCCCACCCATCCCAACCATCCCACCCATCCCACCCATCCCAACCATCCCACCCATCCCACCCATCCCACCCATCCCAACCATCCCACCCATCCCACCCATCCCACCCATCCCAACCATCCCACCCATCCCACCCATCCCAACCATCCCACCCATCCCACCCATCCCAACCATCCCACCCATCCCACCCATCCCAACCATCCCACCCATCCCACCCATCCCACCCATCCCACCCACCGTTGTGTGCAATGACAACGAAGTCAAACTCCCCTGCCTTGCGCCCTGTCTCCTCCAGCACCCACTTGCCCCCCCTCGCCCTCATCTTGCCTATCCACACCGGCCGCTCCACCCCCACCACGCCCTCCCTCACCTGTGAACAGGGAATGATGGGAGGGGAGATGAGGGGAGAACACCGAGAGAGGAGGGTGATGAAAAAAGCCGTCACCTGTCTACCCACACCGGCAGCCCCACTCCCACCACGCCACGCACTCACCTGTGGTCAGAGGGGGTGCGGCAGTAGGGAGGGAAACAGGTTCAAGACTGGCAAGGTTCCTACCTGCGTACCAGCAGTGCTCTGCCTGCTCCATGCCATTACCCCGTCCCCTTCCTGTCCCCCTTCCCCCTTCCCCCCTTTTCCCTTCCCCCTTCAGTCTCTTCTCTCCAGATTTGCACGCATGCCGTCGCTCACACAAGCCCTTTCTGCAATCGAAAACCAATATTGAAGGTTCAATGTTGAAAGTTGAGATCTGGAAATGACGCTGCCAGCTGCGCTGTGCTGTGCTGTGCTGCGCTGCGCTGTGCTGCGCTGCGCTGTGCTGCGCTGGGCTGTGCTGCGCTGCGCTGCGCTGTGCTGTGCTGTGCTGTGCTGTGCTGCGCTGCGCTGTGCTGTGCTGTGCCGTGCTGTGCTGTGCTGTGCTGTGCTGTGCTGTGCTGTGCGGCACGCACCTTATCCGCAATCACGTGCTCGCAGAACGCCCGCATCCCATTGGGGCTAACGAGCCTCCGTGCCTCTCCACCGCCACTGCTGCTACTGCTGTCACCACCACCCAGCAGTGGTGAGAACGCCCCTCCTGCCTGCAGCGTGCCGATGCGCCCCTCCTCCCACACCCGCAGGGCGCCTTCCTTGAGCCACCTGGTGGTGTGCAGTGGGGTGCGGTGCGGTGGACTGCGGTTTCGGACATCATTGCAGAAAATTGCATTGGGCTTATTGCGTCGCGTCACACAGGATCAACAACAGACGTTGCCACACCAGTCCGTGACTGCCAACAGCGCATGATTCCCACCTGTCAACGTATCAGCGCATCTGACACCTGGATGCAACAAGAATTGCACAATTCCCACCTGTCAACGTATGATTGGAAGCTGCCCACCTGTCAACGTATGATTGGAAGCGGTCATCTGTGACGGTGAAGAACTGTGCTGCGTGGTCAAACAGGCGCAGCTTCCCAGCAACTTCCACCTCCCGAGTGGCCATCCGCCCACCCAACCCGTGCTTGCCCTGCCGCAAAGGGGAGCACACAGAGAAAGGGGAGGGAGGACGCGAGAGAAAGGGCGAGGAGAGCGATGGGTGAGGGGTCTTTTGAGGCGCGTCAAAAGTTCCCCCGAGTGGCCATCCGCCCGCCCAGCCCGTGCTTGCCCTGCCTCGAGGAGAGGAAGAAGGTAGGGGAAGGGAGAAAAGGTGAAAGCGGAGAGGGTGGAATGGGTTTGATATGGAAAGGGAGAGAGGTAAGGAAGAGGCGGAGAGGGGAGGAGGGAGAAGAGGCAGGTGGGTGGGATAAGCACACCCTAGCTCCCCTCCGCATGGGACCAGTTTTGAGGCGCCTTAAAAAAAGAAGAGGCAGTTTTGAGGCGCCTCAAAACTAGAAGAGACAGGTGGGATGAGCACACCCTTGCTCCCCTCAGCATGGGACCTTCAGCCCTTGCAAGAACCCTTGCGGCCGGTCCCATGCCGCCCATCTCACTCACTGTGCTGCTCAGCCTAAACCCCTCAGAAACCCCTACTAACCACTTACAGAACCCCTACTAAGCCCCTAATATCCCCTTACTGAACCTTCCCTGAAACTCCACCAAACTCCAAGTAACCTCCTGCAAGGCCCCGTCGTACAGTGCCAAACGGTGCTGCAGTGCCGCGTTCCGCCAGTCTCAGAGTGCACATGAGGCCCTGCTAAGCCCCTCCTGAACCCCTCCAAAACCCCTAATAAACGGCGACTAAACCCCCTGCAAAAAGCCGTCGTACAGTGTCGAACACGGTGCTGCGGATGCCGCGTTCCGCCAGCCCCAGCGCGCACATCAGCCCCGCCATCCCGCCGCCCAGAATCGCCACGTGTGGGTCGCGGCTCATTGGCTCCGGGAATTCCGCGGGCTCCAGCACCACGTGGCTGCGCTTCTGCCGCTCGCGCCTTCCGCTTCCGCCTCCCTCGCGCGCTTCCCCCTCCGCTCCCGCGCCATCCCCGTTCTCCCCCGCCTGCTGCGCGTCTCCGCTTGGCCTCCCGCGCGCGGGCTTACCGCCGCTCCGCCTATTCTTCCCCCCGGAGGATCTGCTCTCACTCTGCCCGCCTTTCTCCGCAATTCGTCGCGCACCGCCGGAAAGCGCTTTCTCGCTGCTGCTGCTGCCGCCGCCCGTGCGGCTCCACTGCTTCGCGAACGAGCTCGGCTTCTCGCCCTCGCCGGCAACCGCGCATCGTACGGACGATCGCGATCCGCGGACTAATCTGAACGGTAGACCCCTTTCTGCCCGAGCCGGCCCATCACCAAGTAACTCGCATTGATGCTTGACCGCGATGGTCTCTCGTGGTATTAGGCTTGGTCTTATGTCGGCACGGAAAAAATTTTGCGTGGGGATTGGGAGAAAGGGCGTGCGAAGGGAAGAGCACGACTGGAGCAACGTGGCAGACGCCATGACTGTTAGGCGCGACGCCAAGCTTGCGAAGCGGCGCGAAATGGCTACTAGTGTTTGATTTTGCAGCAAAAATACGCGCGCTGTTAGCATCTATTGCCGTTTGTAGGCAGAGTATGGGATGTATAAAAATGAATACACATATAACGGCTTTAAACTTGCAATGAAATGTTTTCGAAGTGGTATACAAAGTATTGCATTGCATTTATAGCCTCTGATTAATTTTTTTACTATGAATGGAAAAAATGATACACGAATTCTATTGTAGTTTGTTATGCATCTGCTCTTAAAGATTCTGAAGAGTTATGGAAAGCCTTACGAAAAATGTCAGATTGTATTTTAGCGCGACGCTATTATTGAGTCATTCGGAAATGGCTTCGACCTTCCTCCCCACCATCGCCTTCCTCTCTGCCCACACGCCACCCCTCAGCCCAGCGTGTTCCCTGCCTCGGCTCACGCGTTCCGTTCCACCTAGTTCCATTGTGCTAGTTCAAAAAGCTCCTACCATCCTTTCGTTTTTCAAATCCTGATTTCGTTAACCTGCACACTAGAGCCAAAGCTATCGTTTGTCTGTTTACTTCTCTAATTCTGAACATCGTCTCGGTTAGTAGATAACTCAGAATCCAAAGTATACCAGTGAAGTCACCTCGCCATCCCTTCCACGAACTTTTAAAAATGAGCGACCTTATGCCACCAGTTTCAGCCGGTCGCAGCGCACGAGTATCCGTGGAGGTAATTTCCGCGCGCGGCCTCCGCAACGAGCGGAAGCTCCCCTTCGCGCGCATGAGCCCATGCGCGCTCGTCTCCCTCCCCGCGCTCCCTTCCTGTTGGAAAGCATTGCCGCCTGCCGTCAACGGCGGACGAAACCCTACCTGGGGCGGCGGGCCGCAATTCACGGCGGAATTCGCGGTGAATGATCTGCTTCCCCGCTTAGAGTCCTCTCCGCAGCATCCGTCCGCCTCCGCCTTCCCTTCCGATTCTTCCTTTCCCGCCTCTCCCGTTTCCTCCGCTTCCGCTGATTACAAATCTACTGCCTCGACGTTTCCCTCCCCCGCCTCCTCCGCAGCTGCATCCTTTCCCCCAGCGGCTCTTCCCCCCCACGCGTGCGTGCAAGTGCGCGTGGAGCTCTTCAGTTCCGCCGCGCTGCGCAAGTCGCTCGGCGCGGCCACGGTGGCGCTGGACGCGGTGCTCCGCCGACCGGGGGAGTGGCAGCGCGCGGAGCTGCCAGTGATGCGCGCGAGGCGCAAAAGGGGACACGAGCGCGCGAAGCAGAGCGGATGGGTGACGGTGCGGGTGAGGGTTGGGGGAGTTGTGGAGGGTGGGAGAACGGAGGATGCAGCACCATGCTGGCAGCCGCCGCTTGCACCCATCCCGTCATTCTACGCCCACACATTGACTGAGGACAGTGCTTGCGTGGACGGTGCTGATGTGGACGGTGCTGACGTGCACGGTGCAAGAAGAGAGGGTGAAGCAGCTGCAGCAGGTGCAGTGGCAGCTGGCGCAGCAGGGGCACCAATCAGGGCGCAGGAGCACTCAAAGGTTACACAATTACCATCATCTCGCAGCCATCAGACCACTGCTCCATCTCCACCGCTTCCAACACCTCCACCACCACCCCCTGTCACTGGTTACCCTGCCCCGCCCCCTTATAGTCACACTACAGCACCTTACTACCCGCCTCCCCAGTATCCCCTACCCAACCAGGGACCATATGCTCAACCAACCAGCAGCAGTCACCCGTACACAGCCTATGCAGGGCCCACCAACCCTTCTGGACCTTGGTACTCCTCGTTACAAGCACCTCCAGTGACAGCGTACAAGCACAGTAAGCACGGGCAGAAGAGGAGGGGGGCTGGCAGGGCGGGGCTGGGTGCAGGGTTGGCGCTGGGGGCTCTGGGTGGGCTGCTGGTGGGGGATGCGATTGGGGATGGGCTGGGGGATGCTGGAGGATTCGATTTTGGAGGGTTTGGTGACTTCGGCTTCTGATTAGTGTTTCTTGTGTAGAGAGAGTGTATTGTGTTTTTTGTACATGAAATTGTGTATATGGCTAGTAAGAAGTACAATTGTGCTGTTCAGAGTGATGGTTGTCAGCAAAATACCGGGAATTGTGTTTGGGGAAGCTGCTTGTTTGTTAGACTTGTGAAGAAAGGTAAGCATATATAGCCCACAAATTGCTAAGTTCTAAACTTGAACTTTGCCAACGTAGGCCACGCGGGTGATTACCGTATGAAAATAAGCGCTCACGTACAGGATATATATTCCTTCTCTAGCTTGTTGGGAAACATTCTCGAGGTGATTGCTCTTTCATCTACATAGAAAGGGCTTGCCTGCATACACCTTTCTTGAATATGAAACTGGAAACTATTCTGGTGAATTGTTTCATAAGAGGGAAGTTACTATGAGGTAATATTTCGGTTGGGGGGGACTGCTTTCAATTCAACGTGCCAGCTGCTTCCTCATCACCCTCACCCGCCACGACGACCCCCAAGACCCCCAGCGACCCCTAGCGACCCCCAGCGACTCAGTGACCCTCCAGCGACCCCCAGGGACTTGCCAGCGACCACCGAGGGACCCCCCACTCCCAGCCCTGCCATATATACCACAACTCAGCACATCCCCCAGCGTCGCAGCAACATCTCAAGAGGCTCCAAACCTTACGTTTTTCACTGCCTACTATTGTCACCCTTCACGCTATAGTCAAACTCGTTTTTTTGTTCCGTGTGTTAGATAAGTTACCTCGCCGTCTCTTTCACGGACTTCATAATATGAGCGAGCTCATCCCGCCAGAGCCGGCCGGTCACGGCGGACGAGTATCAGTGGAGGTAGTATCCGCGCGCGGTCTCCGCAATGAGCGGAAGCCCCCCTTCGCTTGCATGAGCCCCTGCGCGCTCGTCTCCCTCCCCGCACTCCCTTCCTGCTGGAAAGCATTGCCGCCTGCCGTCAACGGCGGACGAAACCCTAATTGGGGTGGCGGGCCGCAATTCACGGCGGAATTCGCGGCGAATGATCTGCTGCCCCTCGTAGGATCCCCCTTTCCCGCTTCTCCCATGTCCTCCCCTTCCGCCTCCGCCGCAACGTTTCCCTGCCCCGCCTCCTTTTCAGCTGCATCCTTCACCCCCGCGGCACTTCCTGCCAAGGCGCGCGCGCAAGTGCGCGTGGAGCTCTTCAGCTCCGCCGCCCTGCGCAGGTCGCTCGGCGCGGCCACCTTGGCGCTGGACGCGGCGCTCCGCCGGCCGGGGGAGTGGCAGCGCGTGGAGCTGCCAGTGATGCGCGCGAGGCGCAAAGGGGAGGACGAGCGTCTGACGCAGTGCGGATGGGTGACGGTGCGGGTGAGGGTTGGGGGAACCGCGGAGGCGGGGAGGGGGGAGGGGGAAAGGGCGGAGAGGGGAGAATCGTGCTGGCAGCCCCCGCTTGCACCCATCCCATCGTTCTACACCTACACAGGGACTGAGGACAGTGCTTACGTGGACAGTGCTTACGTGGACAGTGCTGACGTGGACAGTGCTGACATGGACAGTGCTGATGTGGACTGTGCAAGGAGAGAGGGTGCAGCAGTTCCAGCAGGTGCAGTGCCAGCTGGCTCAGCAGCGGCACCAATCAGGGTGCCAGGTCAGCTAGAGGCTGCACAGATGCCTTCATCCCACAGCGATCAGACCGCTGCACACCCATCTCCACCGCTTCCAACACCTTCGCCACCACCACCTGTTATTGGCAACCGTGCCCCACCCCCTTATAGTCACACTGTACCACCTTACCACTCTCCACACTCTCCGCTGCCGAATCCTGGACCTCACCCCCAATCAAGCAATCCCCCTAGGCCAGGTTACCCCTCGTTACAAGCACCTCCGGCGAGAGCGTACGTGCACATTGAGCCTGGGGTGAGCCTTACAACGTTGCTGCTGGGGGCGCTGGGAGCGCTGGGTGAGGTGCTGTTGAGGGATTCAATTGGGGATGGGTTGGGGGAAGTTAAAGGATTTGATTTAGGTTGATCTGATAGTAGTGATAGTGTGGATTTTTTTGCGTCTCTGGTGTAGTGATTGTACACTGGTTTGTACAAAAAAAAAAGCATAGTGTAAAACGTGGTAGAAATAGTTCACTTGTTGTTCAAGGAAGAAAATGAAAGGGAAGCCTGTTTATGCGAACTTGTTATCCCTGTGAGGTAACGCTATACAACTCCTAGTCGTGAGCGTTCCCTTTCTTTTCCGTGAAGCGAGGCTTATGTTACCGAGGATCAGTACTCTCCCGCGTACTAGTTCCAGATGTGCTCGGAGAGAAGAGCATCAAGCAGAAGCAACCGGCTGTTCTCGCGTCACCCAGCAATGCCGAGCCGCTCCTGGAAGGGTCGGGACGCAAGTGGTCCCGGCCACCGTAGAACGCGGCGTGATCGCCGGGCCTTTCTACGGCATGATCGCCACGCGCAGCTCGTTTCGCTCGTCTTTGAACGTGAATTCAAATTCCCTCCTCCATCCGTTGCGTCGAGAGCCGTTCTCGCGACGTCGTAGTAATGGCATGCTCGCACACGAGCGCCGCACGACAGATCGCCGTCGCAAGGTGTTGTCGCACGCGCGACACTTCCCCCTGCCTTAATACACAGTTGCGCGGAGCACTGGGCTTGCGCTCTCGCGATGGACAGCGCGGGGATCGTGCGCCGAGCCTCCTCTTCTTCCGCGCGCGCGCATTCTCCTCCCCGCTCGTCCGCCGCTCTCCCGCGCTTCTCCCTGCGCCGCCTCCCCTTCCACCCGCGCGGCCGCCCCTTGCGCCATGGAACCGGCGCATACACCAGCATCGGCGCGCTCTGCTGCATTCTCTCTCTCCTCACTCTCCTCGCCCTCCTCCTTCTCATCGTCCTTCGCTCCACCTTTCGCCTGGGCACTGTCGCACCTTCCACAGCCAGCAGTGTTGGAAGCAGTACGACTCAAGGCGATGCACATTTGTCGTTTCTTGACGGACTCGACAACTGCCAGGACGAATTCCGTCAACTGTTGGACGAGTTCCGTTTGCGCGACGGAAAGGACGGCATTGACTGCAGCGCCTTGCTCAATTCCGTCGCCGCGGATGGCGGCGTTACTCGAGGCGGCGCGTCCCGCGGGAGTGTCGCGGCAGGTACGGCAGCAGGGGAGACGCGGACACTCTACGAGAGAGCAGAGGGGCGGGATGAGGAGGAAGGGCCAAACGTGACTTCTGCTGCAGCTGCTGCTAGTAGCGATGGCGAGGAGAGGGGTTCGGGTTCAGAGCGTGCTGCTGCCTCGCTGCCTCCCCTGAGTGCGTTTGTGGGGCGCTCCTTCTTCAACCCCATGGCATTCGTTGATGATGACGCAAGCAGTGAAGGCGGCAGCAGTGTACCACCTGACAGCACCCACACCCACACCCACAGCGACAGAGACAGCAACATAGGCAGTGACAGTGACAGCAGCAGCAGCTTCCGAGGCGTCCCTAAGCCATGGGGCCTGTGCATCGCCATCGCTCCCACCCACTGCTCCTGCTCCCCTCCCTCCCGCCCTCCCATTCCCCCGGCCTCCCCCCAACCCGCGCACCCCTTCCCCATCTCCGCCCTGCGCCATCTTCTCCCCATCCATCCCCCCGCGCCCACTGCAGCAGGTAGCAGCAGCAGAAGCAGCAGAAGCAGCACAAGCGGGCAGCACAGGGAGTCCTTTTCCACGGAACCCACCACCGCTTCAAACCCATCTGCACTCCCTTCAACCACTCTGGACCTGCTGCTCTCCCTGGACCGCCACCGAGCCAAGGGGCTGCTGCTGGAACGCTCCATGCGCGCCGTGGCTTACAGCTCCGGCTGCCGAGCCTGGGTGCCAGGCTCGGGAAGGAGGGGGCAGCGGAGGCGGCAGAGGAGCGAGCAGGAGGGAGAAGGAGAGGGGGACGCAGCAGGTGGGGCGAATAATGGTGCGAATGAGGGAGAGACGGATGGGGAGGGAGGAGAAGGAGCGGGCGGCGAGGGAGAGGAGGATGATGAGAGCGGTGAAGAGGGGTACAGGTCGGTACTGGAGCAGCTGTCAGCTGATTTCGAGGTGGATCTGGTGCAGGCGCCCCCCGCGCTCTGCTCGCTCACTGACGCCCTGCCGGAAGCAGCCAGGCGGCAGTTGCTTGCGGCCTACTCATCAAGGTTCTTCCCTCCCAACCACACTGCACACCTCTGGACGGCTTTCAGCGTCATGTCTGCCCAGGGGGAGCAGCGAAATGGGGCCCAGGGGGAGCAGCAGCAGCAAGGGTTGGAGGAGCAGCAGCAGGGGGTGAAGGAGCAGCAGGGGATAAAGGGGCAGGGGTGCATGGAGAGGGTGAGAGAGGCGTGCATGCGGCAGTGGTGGCAGCAGGAGGTGCAGCGGACGGTGCAGTTTGTGCATGCTGTCAGACAGTGCGCTGCCTCCTCCCCCCGCCACGTGCTCTTCCTGCACGCACCCCACCAGCAGCACACAGGCATGGCTGGCAGCACAGGACGGGCGGGCAGCAGAGGAGAAGCGAGGGGGGGAGGAGGAGGGGGAGGGCGGGAAGGAGTTGTGAGGGTGAGGGAGCGGTATGACGTGGCGATGGAGCGGTTTGTGGCGCGGGCGCTGCGAGGAAAGGACTGGGGTGTGGTGTCCCTCGCAGGCCGACCTGCACCACCGCCCACGGCGCCAGCACAGTCAGTGGCACAAGCAGGGCACGCAGTCGAAACAGGGGGCAGAATAGAAGCAGGGGAGACAGAGGAGGGGGTCACAGCACAAGCAGGGGGAGCAGGGAGAACATCTCACGAGGGCGGGTCAGCATCACTGCTGCTGCGGGGTGTGAGGGGCGTGCAAGCCTTGCTGCTGCGCGGCGAGGCAAGCCACCTGCTGCCGCTGCTGGCCCACCTTGAGCAGCGCTTCCTGGAGGGGCCGCTGGAGGACCTCCTTATAAGCTTCTTCGGTAGCAGGAATAAGTCCGTGCATGTTCATGAGCCTCCGCTGTTCTGGCGGGCGGTGGGAGGAGGAGACGGAGGCGCAGAATTGGAGGGGACCGGGGAGGATGGGGCTTCGGGTAAGGAGGGGGATGGGATGGAAGAAGCGTGGACGAAGCAGGAGGGGGATGGGATGGAAGAAGCGAGTCTTGATTCGATTCCGAACTGGGTGGACGAGGCGTGGACTGTGGATGACCCATTTGTTAACGAGGTCAAGGAACCCATCCGTACCGCATTGCACCCACCAGAAGCGCCCGTGGGGCTGTCTGTGTCTCGGAGCATGCTGGTGAGCGTGCATGGGGGAGAGGTGGTGCCGGCCGATGCAGGTGCGAGGGTGGCGATGAGTGGAAAAGTGGAGGGAGATGGTGGCAAGGGAGATGGTGGCAAGGGAGATGGTAGCGGTGGCAGCAGCAGGAGTGAGGGGAAGGGGGTGAATGGAACAGACGACCACAAAGCATCAGGAAGAGCAGGGGCAGCGGCAGCAGGTGTTGGCAATGGAAGCACGGCAACACGAGCAGCAGTTGTGCTGTCGCCCGGCTTGTTTGCATGTTGGGTGAAATGCGGCGGAGCGGCAGCAGAGGGTAAGGCCGGGGGTGATGAGAGTGAGAGGAGGGCGCAAGGGGGCGAGAGGAGGGCGCAAGGGGGCGAGAGGAGGGCGCAAGGGGGCGAGAGGAGGGCGCAAGGGGGCGAGAGGAGGGCGCAAGGGGGCGAGAGGAGGGCGCAAGGGGGCGAGAGGAGGGCGCAAGGGGGCGAGAGGAGGGCGCAAGGGGGCGAGAGGAGGGCGCAAGGGGGCGAGAGGAGGGCGCAAGGGGGCGAGAGGAGGGCGCAAGGGGGCGAGAGGAGGGCGCAAGGGGGCGAGAGGAGGGCGCAAGGGGGCGAGAGGAGGGCGCAAGGGGGCGAGAGGAGGGCGCAAGGGGGCGAGAGGAGGGCGCAAGGGGGCGAGAGGAGGGCGCAAGGGGGCGAGAGGAGGGCGCAAGGGGGCGAGAGGAGGGCGCAAGGGGGCGAGAGGAGGGCGCAAGGGGGCGAGAGGAGGGCGCAAGGGGGCGAGAGGAGGGCGCAAGGGGGCGAGAGGAGGGCGCAAGGGGGCGAGAGGAGGGCGCAAGGGGGCGAGAGGAGGGCGCAAGGGGGCGAGAGGAGGGCGCAAGGGGGCGAGAGGAGGGCGCAAGGGGGCGAGAGGAGGGCGCAAGGGGGCGAGAGGAGGGCGCAAGGGGGCGAGAGGAGGGCGCAAGGGGGCGAGAGGAGGGCGCAAGGGGGTGAGAGGAGGGCGCAAGGGGGCGAGAGGAGGGCGCAAGGGGGTGAGAGGAGGGCGCAAGGGGGCGAGAGGAGGGCGCAAGGGGGCGAGAGGAGGGCGCAAGGGGGTGAGAGGAGGGCGCAAGGGGGTGAGAGGAGGGCGCAAGGGGGTGAGAGGAGGGCGCAAGGGGGTGAGAGGAGGGCGCAAGGGGGCGAGAGGAGGGCGCAAGGGGGTGAGAGGAGGGCGCAAGGGGGCGAGAGGAGGGCGCAAGGGGGTGAGAGGAGGGCGCAAGGGGGCGAGAGGAGGGCGCAAGGGGGTGAGAGGAGGGCGCAAGGGGGCGAGAGGAGGGCGCAAGGGGGTGAGAGGAGGGCGCAAGGGGGCGAGAGGAGGGCGCAAGGGGGCGAGAGGAGGGCGCAAGGGGGCGAGAGGAGGGCGCAAGGGGGTGAGAGGAGGGCGCAAGGGGGTGAGAGGAGGGCGCAAGGGGGCGAGAGGAGGGCGCAAGGGGGCGAGAGGAGGGCGCAAGGGGGTGAGAGGAGGGCGCAAGGGGGCGAGAGGAGGGCGCAAGGGGGTGAGAGGAGGGCGCAAGGGGGCGAGAGGAGGGCGCAAGGGGGTGAGAGGAGGGCGCAAGGGGGCGAGAGGAGGGCGCAAGGGGGTGAGAGGAGGGCGCAAGGGGGCGAGAGGAGGGCGCAAGGGGGCGAGAGGAGGGCGCAAGGGGGTGAGAGGAGGGCGCAAGGGGGCGAGAGGAGGGCGCAAGGGGGTGAGAGGAGGGCGCAAGGGGGCGAGAGGAGGGCGCAAGGGGGTGAGAGGAGGGCGCAAGGGGGCGAGAGGAGGGCGCAAGGGGGTGAGAGGAGGGCGCAAGGGGGCGAGAGGAGGGCGCAAGGGGGCGAGAGGAGGGCGCAAGGGGGCGAGAGGAGGGCGCAAGGGGGCGAGAGGAGGGCGCAAGGGGGCGAGAGGAGGGCGCAAGGGGGCGAGAGGAGGGCGCAAGGGGGCGAGAGGAGGGCGCAAGGGGGCGAGAGGAGGGCGCAAGGGGGCGAGAGGAGGGCGCAAGGGGGCGAGAGGAGGGCGCAAGGGGGCGAGAGGAGGGCGCAAGGGGGCGAGAGGAGGGCGCAAGGGGGCGAGAGGAGGGCGCAAGGGGGCGAGAGGAGGGCGCAAGGGGGCGAGAGGAGGGCGCAAGGGGGCGAGAGGAGGGCGCAAGGGGGCGAGAGGAGGGCGCAAGGGGGCGAGAGGAGGGCGCAAGGGGGCGAGAGGAGGGCGCAAGGGGGCGAGAGGAGGGCGCAAGGGGGCGAGAGGAGGGCGCAAGGGGGCGAGAGGAGGGCGCAAGGGGGCGAGAGGAGGGCGCAAGGGGGCGAGAGGAGGGCGCAAGGGGGCGAGAGGAGGGCGCAAGGGGGCGAGAGGAGGGCGCAAGGGGGCGAGAGGAGGGCGCAAGGGGGCGAGAGGAGGGCGCAAGGGGGCGAGAGGAGGGCGCAAGGGGGCGAGAGGAGGGCGCAAGGGGGCGAGAGGAGGGCGCAAGGGGGCGAGAGGAGGGCGCAAGGGGGCGAGAGGAGGGCGCAAGGGGGCGAGAGGAGGGCGCAAGGGGGCGAGAGGAGGGCGCAAGGGGGCGAGAGGAGGGCGCAAGGGGGCGAGAGGAGGGCGCAAGGGGGCGAGAGGAGGGCGCAAGGGGGCGAGAGGAGGGCGCAAGGGGGCGAGAGGAGGGCGCAAGGGGGCGAGAGGAGGGCGCAAGGGGGCGAGAGGAGGGCGCAAGGGGGCGAGAGGAGGGCGCAAGGGGGCGAGAGGAGGGCGCAAGGGGGCGAGAGGAGGGCGCAAGGGGGCGAGACGGGGGCACAAGGGGGCGAGAGGAGGGCGCAAGGGGGCGAGACGGGGGCACAAGGGGGCGAGAGGAGGGCGCAAGGGGGCGAGACGGGGGCACAAGGGGGCGAGAGGAGGGCGCAAGGGGGCGAGACGGGGGCACAAGGGGGCGAGAGGAGGGCGCAAGGGGGCGAGACGGGGGCACAAGGGGGCGAGAGGAGGGCGCAAGGGGCGAGACGGGGGCACAAGGGGGCGAGAGGAGGGCGCAAGGGGGCGAGACGGGGGCACAAGGGGGCGAGAGGAGGGCGCAAGGGGGCGAGACGGGGGCACAAGGGGGCGAGAGGAGGGCGCAAGGGGGCGAGACGGGGGCACAAGGGGGCGAGAGGAGGGCGCAAGGGGGCGAGACGGGGGCACAAGGGGGCGAGAGGAGGGCGCAAGGGGGCGAGACGGGGGCACAAGGGGGCGAGAGGAGGGCGCAAGGGGGCGAGACGGGGGCACAAGGGGGCGAGAGGAGGGCGCAAGGGGGCGAGACGGGGGCACAAGGGGGCGAGAGGAGGGCGCAAGGGGGCGAGACGGGGGCACAAGGGGGCGAGAGGAGGGCGCAAGGGGGCGAGACGGGGGCACAAGGGGGCGAGAGGAGGGCGCAAGGGGGCGAGACGGGGGCACAAGGGGGCGAGAGGAGGGCGCAAGGGGGCGAGACGGGGGCACAAGGGGGCGAGAGGAGGGCGCAAGGGGGCGAGACGGGGGCACAAGGGGGCGAGAGGAGGGCGCAAGGGGGCGAGACGGGGGCACAAGGGGGCGAGAGGAGGGCGCAAGGGGGCGAGACGGGGGCACAAGGGGGCGAGAGGAGGGCGCAAGGGGGCGAGACGGGGGCACAAGGGGGCGAGAGGAGGGCGCAAGGGGGCGAGACGGGGGCACAAGGGGGCGAGAGGAGGGCGCAAGGGGGCGAGACGGGGGCACAAGGGGGCGAGAGGAGGGCGCAAGGGGGCGAGACGGGGGCACAAGGGGGCGAGAGGAGGGCGCAAGGGGGCGAGACGGGGGCACAAGGGGGCGAGAGGAGGGCGCAAGGGGGCGAGACGGGGGCACAAGGGGGCGAGAGGAGGGCGCAAGGGGGCGAGACGGGGGCACAAGGGGGCGAGAGGAGGGCGCAAGGGGGCGAGACGGGGGCACAAGGGGGCGAGAGGAGGGCGCAAGGGGGCGAGACGGGGGCACAAGGGGGCGAGAGGAGGGCGCAAGGGGGCGAGACGGGGGCACAAGGGGGCGAGAGGAGGGCGCAAGGGGGCGAGACGGGGGCACAAGGGGGCGAGAGGAGGGCGCAAGGGGGCGAGACGGGGGCACAAGGGGGCGAGAGGAGGGCGCAAGGGGGCGAGACGGGGGCACAAGGGGGCGAGAGGAGGGCGCAAGGGGGCGAGACGGGGGCACAAGGGGGCGAGAGGAGGGCGCAAGGGGGCGAGACGGGGGCACAAGGGGGCGAGAGGAGGGCGCAAGGGGGCGAGACGGGGGCACAAGGGGGCGAGAGGAGGGCGCAAGGGGGCGAGACGGGGGCACAAGGGGGCGAGAGGAGGGCGCAAGGGGGCGAGACGGGGGCACAAGGGGGCGAGAGGAGGGCGCAAGGGGGCGAGACGGGGGCACAAGGGGGCGAGAGGAGGGCGCAAGGGGGCGAGACGGGGGCACAAGGGGGCGAGAGGAGGGCGCAAGGGGGCGAGACGGGGGCACAAGGGGGCGAGAGGAGGGCGCAAGGGGGCGAGACGGGGGCACAAGGGGGCGAGAGGAGGGCGCAAGGGGGCGAGACGGGGGCACAAGGGGGCGAGAGGAGGGCGCAAGGGGGCGAGACGGGGGCACAAGGGGGCGAGAGGAGGGCGCAAGGGGGCGAGACGGGGGCACAAGGGGGCGAGAGGAGGGCGCAAGGGGGCGAGACGGGGGCACAAGGGGGCGAGAGGAGGGCGCAAGGGGGCGAGACGGGGGCACAAGGGGGCGAGAGGAGGGCGCAAGGGGGCGAGACGGGGGCACAAGGGGGCGAGAGGAGGGCGCAAGGGGGCGAGACGGGGGCACAAGGGGGCGAGAGGAGGGCGCAAGGGGGCGAGACGGGGGCACAAGGGGGCGAGAGGAGGGCGCAAGGGGGCGAGACGGGGGCACAAGGGGGCGAGAGGAGGGCGCAAGGGGGCGAGACGGGGGCACAAGGGGGCGAGAGGAGGGCGCAAGGGGGCGAGACGGGGGCACAAGGGGGCGAGAGGAGGGCGCAAGGGGGCGAGACGGGGGCACAAGGGGGCGAGAGGAGGGCGCAAGGGGGCGAGACGGGGGCACAAGGGGGCGAGAGGAGGGCGCAAGGGGGCGAGACGGGGGCACAAGGGGGCGAGAGGAGGGCGCAAGGGGGCGAGACGGGGGCACAAGGGGGCGAGAGGAGGGCGCAAGGGGGCGAGACGGGGGCACAAGGGGGCGAGAGGAGGGCGCAAGGGGGCGAGACGGGGGCACAAGGGGGCGAGAGGAGGGCGCAAGGGGGCGAGACGGGGGCACAAGGGGGCGAGAGGAGGGCGCAAGGGGGCGAGACGGGGGCACAAGGGGGCGAGAGGAGGGCGCAAGGGGGCGAGACGGGGGCACAAGGGGGCGAGAGGAGGGCGCAAGGGGGCGAGACGGGGGCACAAGGGGCGAGAGGAGGGCGCAAGGGGGCGAGACGGGGGCACAAGGGGGCGAGAGGAGGGCGCAAGGGGGCGAGACGGGGGCACAAGGGGGCGAGAGGAGGGCGCAAGGGGGCGAGACGGGGGCACAAGGGGGCGAGAGGAGGGCGCAAGGGGGCGAGACGGGGGCACAAGGGGGCGAGAGGAGGGCGCAAGGGGGCGAGACGGGGGCACAAGGGGGCGAGAGGAGGGCGCAAGGGGGCGAGACGGGGGCACAAGGGGGCGAGAGGAGGGCGCAAGGGGGCGAGACGGGGGCACAAGGGGGCGAGAGGAGGGCGCAAGGGGGCGAGACGGGGGCACAAGGGGGCGAGAGGAGGGCGCAAGGGGGCGAGACGGGGGCACAAGGGGGCGAGAGGAGGGCGCAAGGGGGCGAGACGGGGGCACAAGGGGGCGAGAGGAGGGCGCAAGGGGGCGAGACGGGGGCACAAGGGGGCGAGAGGAGGGCGCAAGGGGGCGAGACGGGGGCACAAGGGGGCGAGAGGAGGGCGCAAGGGGGCGAGACGGGGGCACAAGGGGGCGAGAGGAGGGCGCAAGGGGGCGAGACGGGGGCACAAGGGGGCGAGAGGAGGGCGCAAGGGGGCGAGACGGGGGCACAAGGGGGCGAGAGGAGGGCGCAAGGGGGCGAGACGGGGGCACAAGGGGGCGAGAGGAGGGCGCAAGGGGGCGAGAGGAGGGCGCAAGGGGGCGAGAGGAGGGCGCAAGGGGGCGAGAGGAGGGCGCAAGGGGGCGAGAGGAGGGCGCAAGGGGGCGAGAGGAGGGCGCAAGGGGGCGAGAGGAGGGCGCAAGGGGGCGAGAGGAGGGCGCAAGGGGGCGAGAGGAGGGCGCAAGGGGGCGAGAGGAGGGCGCAAGGGGGCGAGAGGAGGGCGCAAGGGGGCGAGAGGAGGGCGCAAGGGGGCGAGAGGAGGGCGCAAGGGGGCGAGAGGAGGGCGCAAGGGGGCGAGAGGAGGGCGCAAGGGGGCGAGAGGAGGGCGCAAGGGGGCGAGAGGAGGGCGCAAGGGGGCGAGAGGAGGGCGCAAGGGGGCGAGAGGAGGGCGCAAGGGGGCGAGAGGAGGGCGCAAGGGGGCGAGAGGAGGGCGCAAGGGGGCGAGAGGAGGGCGCAAGGGGGCGAGAGGAGGGCGCAAGGGGGCGAGAGGAGGGCGCAAGGGGGCGAGAGGAGGGCGCAAGGGGGCGAGAGGAGGGCGCAAGGGGGCGAGAGGAGGGCGCAAGGGGGCGAGAGGAGGGCGCAAGGGGGCGAGAGGAGGGCGCAAGGGGGCGAGAGGAGGGCGCAAGGGGCGAGAGGAGGGCGCAAGGGGGCGAGAGGAGGGCGCAAGGGGGCGAGAGGAGGGCGCAAGGGGGCGAGAGGAGGGCGCAAGGGGGCGAGAGGAGGGCGCAAGGGGGCGAGAGGAGGGCGCAAGGGGGCGAGACGGGGGCGCAAGGGGGCGAGAGGAGGGCGCAAGGGGCGAGACGGGGGCGCAAGGGGGCGAGAGGAGGGCGCAAGGGGGCGAGACGGGGCACAAGGGGGCGAGAGGAGGGCGCAAGGGGGCGAGACGGGGGCACAAGGGGGCGAGAGGAGGGCGCAAGGGGGCGAGACGGGGGCACAAGGGGGCGAGAGGAGGGCGCAAGGGGGCGAGACGGGGGCACAAGGGGGCGAGAGGAGGGCGCAAGGGGGCGAGACGGGGGCACAAGGGGGCGAGAGGAGGGCGCAAGGGGGCGAGACGGGGGCACAAGGGGGCGAGAGGAGGGCGCAAGGGGGCGAGACGGGGGCACAAGGGGGCGAGAGGAGGGCGCAAGGGGGCGAGACGGGGGCACAAGGGGGCGAGAGGAGGGCGCAAGGGGGCGAGACGGGGGCACAAGGGGGCGAGAGGAGGGCGCAAGGGGGCGAGACGGGGGCACAAGGGGGCGAGAGGAGGGCGCAAGGGGGCGAGACGGGGGCACAAGGGGGCGAGAGGAGGGCGCAAGGGGGCGAGACGGGGGCACAAGGGGGCGAGAGGAGGGCGCAAGGGGGCGAGACGGGGGCACAAGGGGGCGAGAGGAGGGCGCAAGGGGGCGAGACGGGGGCACAAGGGGGCGAGAGGAGGGCGCAAGGGGGCGAGACGGGGGCACAAGGGGGCGAGAGGAGGGCGCAAGGGGGCGAGACGGGGGCACAAGGGGGCGAGAGGAGGGCGCAAGGGGGCGAGACGGGGGCACAAGGGGGCGAGAGGAGGGCGCAAGGGGGCGAGACGGGGGCACAAGGGGGCGAGAGGAGGGCGCAAGGGGGCGAGACGGGGGCACAAGGGGGCGAGAGGAGGGCGCAAGGGGGCGAGACGGGGGCACAAGGGGGCGAGAGGAGGGCGCAAGGGGGCGAGACGGGGGCACAAGGGGGCGAGAGGAGGGCGCAAGGGGGCGAGACGGGGGCACAAGGGGGCGAGAGGAGGGCGCAAGGGGGCGAGACGGGGGCACAAGGGGGCGAGAGGAGGGCGCAAGGGGGCGAGACGGGGGCACAAGGGGGCGAGAGGAGGGCGCAAGGGGGCGAGACGGGGGCACAAGGGGGCGAGAGGAGGGCGCAAGGGGGCGAGACGGGGGCACAAGGGGGCGAGAGGAGGGCGCAAGGGGGCGAGACGGGGGCACAAGGGGGCGAGAGGAGGGCGCAAGGGGGCGAGACGGGGGCACAAGGGGGCGAGAGGAGGGCGCAAGGGGGCGAGACGGGGGCACAAGGGGGCGAGAGGAGGGCGCAAGGGGGCGAGACGGGGGCACAAGGGGGCGAGAGGAGGGCGCAAGGGGGCGAGACGGGGGCACAAGGGGGCGAGAGGAGGGCGCAAGGGGGCGAGACGGGGGCACAAGGGGGCGAGAGGAGGGCGCAAGGGGGCGAGACGGGGGCACAAGGGGGCGAGAGGAGGGCGCAAGGGGGCGAGACGGGGGCACAAGGGGGCGAGAGGAGGGCGCAAGGGGGCGAGACGGGGGCACAAGGGGGCGAGAGGAGGGCGCAAGGGGGCGAGACGGGGGCACAAGGGGGCGAGAGGAGGGCGCAAGGGGGCGAGACGGGGGCACAAGGGGGCGAGAGGAGGGCGCAAGGGGGCGAGACGGGGGCGCAAGGGGGCGAGAGGAGGGCGCAAGGGGGCGAGAGGAGGGCGCAAGGGGGCGAGAGGAGGGCGCAAGGGGGCGAGAGGAGGGCGCAAGGGGGCGAGAGGAGGGCGCAAGGGGGCGAGAGGAGGGCGCAAGGGGGCGAGAGGAGGGCGCAAGGGGGCGAGAGGAGGGCGCAAGGGGGCGAGAGGAGGGCGCAAGGGGGCGAGAGGAGGGCGCAAGGGGGCGAGAGGAGGGCGCAAGGGGGCGAGAGGAGGGCGCAAGGGGGCGAGAGGAGGGCGCAAGGGGGCGAGAGGAGGGCGCAAGGGGGCGAGAGGAGGGCGCAAGGGGGCGAGAGGAGGGCGCAAGGGGGCGAGAGGAGGGCGCAAGGGGGCGAGAGGAGGGCGCAAGGGGGCGAGAGGAGGGCGCAAGGGGGCGAGAGGAGGGCGCAAGGGGGCGAGAGGAGGGCGCAAGGGGGCGAGAGGAGGGCGCAAGGGGGCGAGAGGAGGGCGCAAGGGGGCGAGAGGAGGGCGCAAGGGGGCGAGAGGAGGGCGCAAGGGGGCGAGAGGAGGGCGCAAGGGGGCGAGAGGAGGGCGCAAGGGGGCGAGAGGAGGGCGCAAGGGGGCGAGAGGAGGGCGCAAGGGGGCGAGAGGAGGGCGCAAGGGGGCGAGAGGAGGGCGCAAGGGGGCGAGAGGAGGGCGCAAGGGGGCGAGAGGAGGGCGCAAGGGGGCGAGAGGAGGGCGCAAGGGGGCGAGAGGAGGGCGCAAGGGGGCGAGAGGAGGGCGCAAGGGGGCGAGAGGAGGGCGCAAGGGGGCGAGAGGAGGGCGCAAGGGGGCGAGAGGAGGGCGCAAGGGGGCGAGAGGAGGGCGCAAGGGGGCGAGAGGAGGGCGCAAGGGGGCGAGAGGAGGGCGCAAGGGGGCGAGAGGAGGGCGCAAGGGGGCGAGAGGAGGGCGCAAGGGGGCGAGAGGAGGGCGCAAGGGGGCGAGAGGAGGGCGCAAGGGGGCGAGAGGAGGGCGCAAGGGGCGAGAGGAGGGCGCAAGGGGGCGAGAGGAGGGCGCAAGGGGGCGAGAGGAGGGCGCAAGGGGGCGAGAGGAGGGCGCAAGGGGGCGAGAGGAGGGCGCAAGGGGGCGAGAGGAGGGCGCAAGGGGGCGAGAGGAGGGCGCAAGGGGGCGAGAGGAGGGCGCAAGGGGGCGAGAGGAGGGCGCAAGGGGGCGAGAGGAGGGCGCAAGGGGGCGAGAGGAGGGCGCAAGGGGGCGAGAGGAGGGCGCAAGGGGGCGAGAGGAGGGCGCAAGGGGGCGAGAGGAGGGCGCAAGGGGGCGAGAGGAGGGCGCAAGGGGGCGAGAGGAGGGCGCAAGGGGGCGAGAGGAGGGCGCAAGGGGGCGAGAGGAGGGCGCAAGGGGGCGAGAGGAGGGCGCAAGGGGGCGAGAGGAGGGCGCAAGGGGGCGAGAGGAGGGCGCAAGGGGGCGAGAGGAGGGCGCAAGGGGGCGAGAGGAGGGCGCAAGGGGGCGAGAGGAGGGCGCAAGGGGGCGAGAGGAGGGCGCAAGGGGGCGAGAGGAGGGCGCAAGGGGGCGAGAGGAGGGCGCAAGGGGGCGAGAGGAGGGCGCAAGGGGGCGAGAGGAGGGCGCAAGGGGGCGAGAGGAGGGCGCAAGGGGGCGAGAGGAGGGCGCAAGGGGGCGAGAGGAGGGCGCAAGGGGGCGAGAGGAGGGCGCAAGGGGGCGAGAGGAGGGCGCAAGGGGGCGAGAGGAGGGCGCAAGGGGGCGAGAGGAGGGCGCAAGGGGGCGAGAGGAGGGCGCAAGGGGGCGAGAGGAGGGCGCAAGGGGGCGAGAGGAGGGCGCAAGGGGGCGAGAGGAGGGCGCAAGGGGGCGAGAGGAGGGCGCAAGGGGGCGAGAGGAGGGCGCAAGGGGGCGAGAGGAGGGCGCAAGGGGCGAGAGGAGGGCGCAAGGGGGCGAGAGGAGGGCGCAAGGGGGCGAGAGGAGGGCGCAAGGGGGCGAGAGGAGGGCGCAAGGGGGCGAGAGGAGGGCGCAAGGGGGCGAGAGGAGGGCGCAAGGGGGCGAGAGGAGGGCGCAAGGGGGCGAGAGGAGGGCGCAAGGGGGCGAGAGGAGGGCGCAAGGGGGCGAGAGGAGGGCGCAAGGGGGCGAGAGGAGGGCGCAAGGGGGCGAGAGGAGGGCGCAAGGGGGCGAGAGGAGGGCGCAAGGGGGCGAGAGGAGGGCGCAAGGGGGCGAGAGGAGGGCGCAAGGGGGCGAGAGGAGGGCGCAAGGGGGCGAGAGGAGGGCGCAAGGGGGCGAGAGGAGGGCGCAAGGGGGCGAGAGGAGGGCGCAAGGGGGCGAGAGGAGGGCGCAAGGGGGCGAGAGGAGGGCGCAAGGGGGCGAGAGGAGGGCGCAAGGGGGCGAGAGGAGGGCGCAAGGGGGCGAGAGGAGGGCGCAAGGGGGCGAGAGGAGGGCGCAAGGGGGCGAGAGGAGGGCGCAAGGGGGCGAGAGGAGGGCGCAAGGGGGCGAGAGGAGGGCGCAAGGGGGCGAGAGGAGGGCGCAAGGGGGCGAGAGGAGGGCGCAAGGGGGCGAGAGGAGGGCGCAAGGGGGCGAGAGGAGGGCGCAAGGGGGCGAGAGGAGGGCGCAAGGGGGCGAGAGGAGGGCGCAAGGGGGCGAGAGGAGGGCGCAAGGGGGCGAGAGGAGGGCGCAAGGGGGCGAGAGGAGGGCGCAAGGGGGCGAGAGGAGGGCGCAAGGGGGCGAGAGGAGGGCGCAAGGGGGCGAGAGGAGGGCGCAAGGGGGCGAGAGGAGGGCGCAAGGGGGCGAGAGGAGGGCGCAAGGGGGCGAGAGGAGGGCGCAAGGGGGCGAGAGGAGGGCGCAAGGGGGCGAGAGGAGGGCGCAAGGGGGCGAGAGGAGGGCGCAAGGGGGCGAGAGGAGGGCGCAAGGGGGCGAGAGGAGGGCGCAAGGGGGCGAGAGGAGGGCGCAAGGGGCGAGAGGAGGGCGCAAGGGGGCGAGAGGAGGGCGCAAGGGGGCGAGAGGAGGGCGCAAGGGGGCGAGAGGAGGGCGCAAGGGGGCGAGAGGAGGGCGCAAGGGGGCGAGAGGAGGGCGCAAGGGGGCGAGAGGAGGGCGCAAGGGGGCGAGAGGAGGGCGCAAGGGGGCGAGAGGAGGGCGCAAGGGGGCGAGAGGAGGGCGCAAGGGGGCGAGAGGAGGGCGCAAGGGGGCGAGAGGAGGGCGCAAGGGGGCGAGAGGAGGGCGCAAGGGGGCGAGAGGAGGGCGCAAGGGGGCGAGAGGAGGGCGCAAGGGGCGAGAGGAGGGCGCAAGGGGGCGAGAGGAGGGCGCAAGGGGGCGAGAGGAGGGCGCAAGGGGGCGAGAGGAGGGCGCAAGGGGGCGAGAGGAGGGCGCAAGGGGGCGAGAGGAGGGCGCAAGGGGGCGAGAGGAGGGCGCAAGGGGGCGAGAGGAGGGCGCAAGGGGGCGAGAGGAGGGCGCAAGGGGGCGAGAGGAGGGCGCAAGGGGGCGAGAGGAGGGCGCAAGGGGGCGAGAGGAGGGCGCAAGGGGGCGAGAGGAGGGCGCAAGGGGGCGAGAGGAGGGCGCAAGGGGGCGAGAGGAGGGCGCAAGGGGCGAGAGGAGGGCGCAAGGGGGCGAGAGGAGGGCGCAAGGGGGCGAGAGGAGGGCGCAAGGGGGCGAGAGGAGGGCGCAAGGGGGCGAGAGGAGGGCGCAAGGGGGCGAGAGGAGGGCGCAAGGGGGCGAGAGGAGGGCGCAAGGGGGCGAGAGGAGGGCGCAAGGGGGCGAGAGGAGGGCGCAAGGGGGCGAGAGGAGGGCGCAAGGGGGCGAGAGGAGGGCGCAAGGGGGCGAGAGGAGGGCGCAAGGGGGCGAGAGGAGGGCGCAAGGGGCGAGAGGAGGGCGCAAGGGGGCGAGAGGAGGGCGCAAGGGGGCGAGAGGAGGGCGCAAGGGGGCGAGAGGAGGGCGCAAGGGGGCGAGAGGAGGGCGCAAGGGGGCGAGAGGAGGGCGCAAGGGGGCGAGAGGAGGGCGCAAGGGGGCGAGAGGAGGGCGCAAGGGGGCGAGAGGAGGGCGCAAGGGGGCGAGAGGAGGGCGCAAGGGGGCGAGAGGAGGGCGCAAGGGGGCGAGAGGAGGGCGCAAGGGGGCGAGAGGAGGGCGCAAGGGGGCGAGAGGAGGGCGCAAGGGGCGAGAGGAGGGCGCAAGGGGGCGAGAGGAGGGCGCAAGGGGGCGAGAGGAGGGCGCAAGGGGCGAGAGGAGGGCGCAAGGGGGCGAGAGGAGGGCGCAAGGGGCGAGAGGAGGGCGCAAGGGGCGAGAGGAGGGCGCAAGGGGGCGAGAGGAGGGCGCAAGGGGGCGAGAGGAGGGCGCAAGGGGGCGAGAGGAGGGCGCAAGGGGGCGAGAGGAGGGCGCAAGGGGGCGAGAGGAGGGCGCAAGGGGGCGAGAGGAGGGCGCAAGGGGGCGAGAGGAGGGCGCAAGGGGGCGAGAGGAGGGCGCAAGGGGGCGAGAGGAGGGCGCAAGGGGGCGAGAGGAGGGCGCAAGGGGGCGAGAGGAGGGCGCAAGGGGGCGAGAGGAGGGCGCAAGGGGGCGAGAGGAGGGCGCAAGGGGGCGAGAGGAGGGCGCAAGGGGGCGAGAGGAGGGCGCAAGGGGCGAGAGGAGGGCGCAAGGGGGCGAGAGGAGGGCGCAAGGGGGCGAGAGGAGGGCGCAAGGGGGCGAGAGGAGGGCGCAAGGGGGCGAGAGGAGGGCGCAAGGGGCGAGAGGAGGGCGCAAGGGGGCGAGAGGAGGGCGCAAGGGGGCGAGAGGAGGGCGCAAGGGGGCGAGAGGAGGGCGCAAGGGGCGAGAGAGGGCGCAAGGGGGCGAGAGGAGGGCGCAAGGGGGCGAGAGGAGGGCGCAAGGGGGCGAGAGGAGGGCGCAAGGGGGCGAGAGAGGGGCGCAAGGGGGCGAGAGGAGGGCGCAAGGGGGCGAGAGGGGGCGCAAGGGGGCGAGAGGAGGGCGCAAGGGGGCGAGAGGAGGGCGCAAGGGGGCGAGACGGGGGCAAAAGGGGCGAGAGGAGGGCGCAAGGGGCGAGAGGAGGGCGCAAGGGGGCGAGAGGAGGGCGCAAGGGGGCGAGACGGGGGCACAAGGGGGCGAGAGGAGGGCGCAAGGGGGCGAGAGGAGGGCGCAAGGGGGCGAGACGGGGGCGCAAGGGGCGAGAGGAGGGCGCAAGGGGGCGAGAGGAGGGCGCAAGGGGGCGAGACGGGGGCGCAAGGGGGCGAGAGGAGGGCGCAAGGGGGCGAGAGGAGGGCGCAAGGGGGCGAGAGGAGGGCGCAAGGGGGCGAGAGGAGGGCGCAAGGGGGCGAGACGGGGGCACAAGGGGGCGAGAGGAGGGCGCAAGGGGGCGAGAGGAGGGCGCAAGGGGGCGAGAGGAGGCGCAAGGGGGCGAGACGGGGGCGCAAGGGGGCGAGAGGAGGGCGCAAGGGGGCGAGAGGAGGGCGCAAGGGGGCGAGACGGGGGCACAAGGGGGCGAGAGGAGGGCGCAAGGGGGCGAGAGGAGGGCGCAAGGGGGCGAGACGGGGGCGCAAGGGGGCGAGACGGGGGCGCAAGGGGGCGAGACGGGGGCGCAAGGGGGCGAGACGGGGGCGCAAGGGGGCGAGACGGGGGCGCAAGGGGGCGAGACGGGGGCGCAAGGGGGCGAGACGGGGGCGCAAGGGGGCGAGACGGGGGCACAAGGGGGCGAGACGGGGGCGCAAGGGGGCGAGACGGGGGCGCAAGGGGGCGAGACGGGGGCACAAGGGGGCGAGACGGGGGCACAAGGGGGCGAGACGGGGGCACAAGGGGGCGAGACGGGGGCGCAAGGGGGCGAGACGGGGGCACAAGGGGGCGAGACGGGGGCACAAGGGGGCGAGACGGGGGCACAAGGGGGCGAGACGGGGGCACAAGGGGGCGAGACGGGGGCACAAGGGGGCGAGACGGGGGCACAAGGGGGCGAGACGGGGGCACAAGGGGGCGAGACGGGGGCACAAGGGGGCGAGACGGGGGCACAAGGGGGCGAGACGGGGGCACAAGGGGGCGAGACGGGGGCACAAGGGGGCGAGACGGGGGCACAAGGGGGCGAGACGGGGGCACAAGGGGGCGAGACGGGGGCACAAGGGGGCGAGACGGGGGCACAAGGGGGCGAGACGGGGGCACAAGGGGGCGAGACGGGGGCACAAGGGGGCGAGACGGGGGCACAAGGGGGCGAGACGGGGGCACAAGGGGCTGCTGGGTTGCGAGGAGGCGATGCTGGTCGTAATGAGAATGACTACAGTGCTGCTGGTCGTGGTGATGACTATGGTGATGCTTTGAATCCATCGCCCCATGGTGTGCTTGCAAGTGCACCAGAGGCACCAGCAGGTGTGACAGCAGAGGATGTGATATTAGAGGGGGTGATTCGAGGCGAGGTTGTGTTTGAGAGCCCGCTGACAGAGCAGGGGGCAGCGGCATGGACCATGGTGGGTCCACGTGCGGTGGGGCACAAAGGGGGGCAGCAGGGGGGGAAGCCGGGAGTGAAGCAGGAGGTGCAGAAGGATGGGCACGAGAGCTATGCAGCACAAGTGGTGGTGGATCAGGAGGAGACGGGGGGTGGTGCTGCTGGTGGGTGGAAAGGCGCAGGGGAGGTGGGGACACTGGCAGGGGAGGGCTCATCAGTGCTTGTGACCATTCCCATCACGGGGAGGCTCTTTCTGCCCGGAATCAAGGACCAGAGAACCATGTGGATGGGGAAATCCTTTGGTGTAGACGAGTACACTACTGTAGATAGCATACCTATAGATAATACCGTAGCTGCCACTGCTGTTTTGGCTGGTGACACGGGAGATGGGCCTGCCAGGCTGTCAGCTCCCAGAGATGCCGTGAGGGGCACTGTGCAGATGGAGGGCGTGCTGACGTGGACTGACTCAGCGCCAGGCCGTGCCAGGCTGGCAGCGGAAGGGGTGGTGCTGATTGAGAGGAGGGGGGGCGAGGAGGGAGAGGAGGAGCGAGTGTGGGGGGCGTGGCGGGATGTGGGCGTATGGGGAAATGCCCATGATAGTGATGGTGGTGATGATAGAGTTCAGGGAGGATTGAGAAAGGGCTGGGTTTCCAGGGTAATACCTGAAGATGGGGGGATGAGATCTGGTGATGCCGATGGGCAAGTGGGGCCAGAGGGGCTGGGGCCGTTTGGGGGAAGCAGCACGGGGAGCAGGCGAGGCGGGAGTGACAAGATGGGGGGGATGAGAGTTGCCGGGCCTTTGTTTGAGGGGAGCGAGGGAAGCGGGGAGCAGAAGGTAGATCGTGGCAGGTCAAGTGGTGTTGTTGTGAACAGTCAAATGAAAAAAGTTCTTGGAACGAGTGCAGGTGGTAGGGAAGAGGGGGGTGATTTGGATAGCAGGGAAAGTGATGGTAGAGGTGGCAATAGAGCTGCCACCAGTAGTGGGGATGAGCCCATTATGTTGCAATTGTCGTGCGATGGCATGGTTGAGTACACTCAAAATACGTGAATTCATTATTTTGTGAAGCTTTTGTGCTGTACGGTATCTGGTTGCACAACAGATTTGAAGGGTTTTATATGGTTTTATGGACAATATAATATAGTGTTTTCATGAAAATTTGACCCTTTTAAGTCACTGGTGTAACGTATTGCAAGATGGGCGTTGTGTGCGATGCAAATGCTTCCAATACCAAGATGCTTCGCACTAGATCGACGGTTTCGATCTGCTGAACTGACACAACCTCATCGCGGCTCACTCCTCCCCCCCTTCCCGAACGGATGGAGTGTGGAGCGGACAGGCACCAACCAACAAGTCTAATGCAAGTTCCTGCAAGTTCTCAGTACCCTACTCAACCAGTCTAATGCTGCAACCAACCGATGTATAGTGAATGTAGAAGGAATCAGCTGAACCGCATTCAGAACTTGGTGGACATAGCCTCCCATCATCCCATCCCATCCCAGCCAACTCTGCTGTCCCATACATGTTCAAGGCGTTGAAAACTTTTCAAGTACAGTACCTCCTCTCCCAACATTGTTGACAAGCAGATGGTGGGAGCGCGCTTCATCCATAATCCTTCGCACTGCCTGTGACGACGAGAGCTCGGGAGTCGGAAACCCGTTAGGTTCGGACGTGGGTAGAGCTGACTTCTCGATGCACTGTAGGGGCACGCGGGTTGACGTTAGGGATTCAACCCCGAGAATGGCTTGATAGCGGCTTAGTGAGCGGTCCTTCCAATCCACCTGGTCCGTTCTAAGCGGCGACAATCTCAAGGCGTCGCGACACGAAAATTTCAAGGCGTCGCGACACGACAATCTCAAGGCGTCGCGACAATCTCAAGGCGTCGCGACAATCTCAAGGCGTCGCAACATTCCGCAGATGCATTGCAGCGCGCTCTGAAGCGTGTCGGGCGGGGCAAGGTGAAGGGATGGAGCGTGCGGTGGGTACCAGAGGAGCGGCAGAGGCGCGGCAGGCAGATGAGCGACAAGCGTGCGACGGAGCAGGCGAGACGAAGGAAGACGGTCGCATGGAATTGGAGGGGGAGGGTGGGGGTGAGAAGGCAAGAGAGGGTAATGTAACAGTTACAGCTGATGACGCAACAGTTACAGCTGATGACGCAGCAGTTAGAGCTGATGACGCAGCAGTTAGAGCTGATGACGCAGCAGTTAGAGCTGATGACGCAGCAGTGAAATCTGGACCTACGATTGACAAAATAGACGATACAGTCGTTAAAATGACAGACAAGGCCATGGAAGCGGAGAATACGACCCCTGAAGCCATCAAAGCGGACGATAATGCTAATAAAGCGGACGGTACAGCCATTAAAGCCGACGATAAGGCCATTAAAGCCGACGATAAAGCCATTAATACCGACAATAAAGCCATTAAAGCCGACGATGAAGCCATGAAAGCCGACGACAAATTTATGAAAGCCGACGATAAATCAATGAAAGCCGACGATAAAGCCATTAAAGCCGACGATAGAGCCAGTAAAGCCGACGATAAAGCCATGGGTGCTGCACCTAAAGCTGCAGGCGAAGCAGCTGTTTGTGGATCAGCGAGAGCCGTGGCAGCAGGGGGAGCCTCAGATAGGGCTGCTGGTGAAGCTAGTAGCGTCGCCCGGGTTGCTGGTGAAACAAATAGCATCGCCAAGGCTGCAGGCGAAGCTAGTAGCGCCGCCAAGGCTGCAGGCGAAGCTAGTAGCGCCGCCAAGGCTGCAGGCGAAGCTAGTAGCGCCGCCAAGGCTGCAGGCGACGACGCGAAGGCGGCTTGTATCGCTAGCGAAAATGAGAAGGTGGCAGGCGACGAAAGGAAGGTTGCAGCGGGCGAAACGAAGGTTGCAGAGAGGACCAGAGAGCAGCAGGAAGAGAGGAGGGAGGAGATGAGAGAGGAGAGCAAGGAGGAGCGGGGGGAGGAGAAGAGGGAGGAGAGGAGGGAAGAGAGGAAGGAGGAGAGGAGGGAGGAGAAGAGGGAGGAGAGGAAGGAGGAGAGGAGGGAGGAGAGGAAGGAGGAGAGGAGGGAGGAGAAGAGAGAGGAGATGAAGGAGGAGACGAGGGAGGAGAGGAGGGAGGAGCAGAGGAAGGAGAGGAAGGCGGAGAGTAGGGAAGGGGAGGTTGCACAGAGGGAAGGGCGGTTTGAGAATGAGGCCGATAGGAAGAAACATGAGGACGTAGCAGCAGGCAGTGCGGCACGGGGCGAGGAGGCAAATAAGGGAGATGAGAGGAAGGCGGAGAGTAGGGAAGCGGAGGTTGCACAGAGAGAAGGGGGATTTGGGAAGCAGGCGGATGGAAGGAAGCATGAGGACGTAGCAGGTAGTGCGGGGCGGGGTGAGGAGGCAAAGGGAGATGAGAAGAAGGCGACTGTTGTGACGTCTCAAAACTCGAAGGAACGGGGATTTGAGAAGCAGGCCGACGGGAAGAAGCATGAGGACGTGGCAGGCAATGTGCCGCGGTGCGAGGAGGCAAAGGGAGATGAGAGTAGGGCGGTATTGAGGGGAGCAGCGTTGCAGGGAGCAGCTTTGGGGGGTTTGGAGGAGGGTAGCAATGGGAGTGAGGAACGGGAGGAGGAAGGTGAGGAAAGATGTGGGGATTCAATGAAGGTTAAACACATCTGCAGTGAGGACCGAGGGGAGTCTGACAGGGAGAGGGAGAAGGGGAGGGAGGGATTGGGTGAGAAGGGGAGGGAAGGATTGAGGGGGAAGGGGAAGGAAGGATTGGGGGAGAATGAGAAGGGAGGGAGTGTCGTGGCAGACACAAGGGAGGAGGAGGTGGTGGATGCGGGAAGGGAAAGGGGAAAGGAGGAGGGAAGGGAGGAGGGGGAGGAGAAAAGAGGGGGGAATGGGGAAAAGTGAGGAGGGAAAGGAGGCGAAAAGGGAAGAGAAGAGAGGGGATGAGGCGAAGAGAGGGGATGGGGCGAGAAGAGGGGATGTGGCGAGAAGAGGGGATGAGGCGAGTAGAGGGGATGAGGCGAAGAGAGGGGATGAGGCGAGAAGAGGGAATGTGGCGAGAAGAGGGGATGAGGCGAGTAGAGGGGATGAGGCGAAGAGAGGGGATGAGGCGAAGAGAGGGGATGAGGCGAGGGGGGAGGATGAGGCGACGAGAGGGGATGAGGCGAAGAGAGGGGATGAGGCGAAGAGAGGGGATGAGGCGAAGAGAGGGGGTGAGGCGAGGGGGGAGGATGAGGCGACGAGAAGGGTTGAGGCGAAGAGAGGGGATGAGGCGAAGAGAGGGGATGAGGCGAAGAGAGGGGATGAGGCGAGGGGGGAGGATGAGGCGACGAGAGGAGATGAGGCGAGGGGGGAGGATGAGGCGACGAGAGGGGATGAGGCGAGGGGGGAGGATGAGGCGAGGAGAGGGGATGATGAGGTTGTGGCAGGCGAGGGGCAGGTAGAAGCACAGGGCGGACATGCGGCCGAGGCAATAGCAAACACAGGGCAAGGCGAAGCACACGGGGATAGGCCAGGGAGGGACAGGGAGGAAGGAGCAAAGGAGGGGAAGGAAAGTTCTGAGGAGAAGGAAAGTGTAAAGGAGAAAGAAAGTGCAAAGGGGAAGGAAAGTGTAAAGGAGGAGAAGGAAAGTGTAAAGGAGGAGAAGGAAAGTGTAAAGGAGGAGAAGGAAAGTGTAAAGGAGGAGAAGGAAAGTGTAAAGGAGGAGAAGGAAATTGTAAAGGAGGAGAAGGAAAGTGTAAAGGAGGAGAAGGAAATTGTAAAGGAGGAGAAGGAAATTGTAAAGGAGAATGAAAGTGTAAAGGATATGGAAAGTGTAAAGGAGGGCGAGAAAGGTGCAAAGGTGGGTGAGGAACAGTTGAATTGGGAGAAGGCGAGTGGGGAGGAGAAGGCGAGTGGGGAGGAGAAGACGAGTGGGGGGGAGAAGGCGAGTGGGGAGGAGAAGGCGAGTGGGGGGGAGAAGGTGAGTGGGGAGAAGAAGACGAGTGGGGAGGAGAAGGGAAATGGGGAGGAGAAGGCGAGTGGGGGGGAGAAGGCGAGTGGGGAGGTGAAGGTGAGTGGGGAGGAGAAGGTGAGTGGGGAGGAGAAGGTGAGTAGAAAGGAGAAGGCGAGTGGGGAGGTGAAGGCGAGTGGGGAGGTGAAGGCGAGTCAGGAGGAGAAGGCGAGTGGGGAGGAGGTGAGTGGGAAGGAGAAGGCGAGTCAGGAGGAGAAGGCAAGTGTGGAGGAAGAGACGGCAGAGGAGAAGGTGAGTGGAGAGGTGAAGGTGAGTGGGGAGAAAGAGGTGGAGAAAGAGAAGGGCTGGCACAATGAGAGTGTGCGGAAAGACAACAAGGCGGAAAGAGGGGAGGTGGGTGGGGAGGAAGGGGGAAAGTTGGGTGGGAATGAAGAAGGGGAGGTTGGTGGGAAGGAAAGGGGGGAAGTGGGTGGGCTGAAGCAGGGTGCTAGGAGTGGTGAGGCGGGCAAAGATACCGCTAGAGAGAATGCGGAAGCGGTGAGTAGGAGTGGAGAGAAGGTGGAAGCGGTGAGTAGGAGTGGAGAGAAGGCAGAAGCGGTGAGTAGGAGTGGAGAGAAGGTGGAAGCGGTGAGTAGGAGTGGAGAGAAGGCGGAAGCGGTGAGTAGGAGTGGAGAGAAGGCGGAAGCGGTGAGTAGGAGTGGAGAGAAGGCGGAAGCGGTGAGTAGGAGTGGAGAGAAGGTGGAAGCGGTGAGTAGGAGTGGAGAGAAGGCGGAAGCGGTGAGTAGGAGTGGAGAGAAGGCGGAAGCGGTGAGTAGGAGTGGAGAGAAGGCGGAAGCGGTGAGTAGGAGTGGAGAGAAGGTGGAAGCGGTGAGTAGGAGTGGAGAGAAGGTGGAAGACAGCAGCATAAAGCGGGGTAGTGGCGATGCGGAGGTGGGGACGGGAAGGTGAAGGAGGGGGTGGAAGCGCAGGAGGGATTGAAGGCGAAGGAAGGAGAGAGGAGGTCGGATAGCGGGGTTGGGGTGAGAGGTGCGTTGGTGGTGAGGGCTGATACTGGGGTGATGGGTGTCGCCAAGGGAGTCAATAGGGATGGGGCAGTGGGTATGGGGGTAGGGGCAAAGAGGGAGTGGACGAGGGTTAAGGGGGAGGATGGAGGGGCAATGGGGGAGGAGGAAGGAAAGGGGGAAAAGGAAAGTGCCATGGGGGAGGATGAAAAGGCGAAGGGGATGGATGGAGGGGCGATTGGGGAGGAGGAAGGGGCAAGAAGGGGAAAGGAGGGGGCAAATGGGGAGGAGAAAGGGGTAAAGGGTGAGGAGGAAACGGGTAAAGGGGGAGGAGGGAGGGACAAAGCGAAAGGAGGAAGGGGCAAAGGGGGTGGAAGAAAGGGTAAATGGGGAGGACGAAAGAGCGAAGGGGAAGGAGGAAGGAGCAAAGGAGGAGGATGAAGGGGCAAAGGCAGAGGAGGACAAGCTGAAGGGGGAGGAGGAAGGATCAAAACGAGAGGATGAAGGGACAAAAGGGGAGAAGGAAATGGTAAAAGGGGGTGAGGAAGGGTCAAGGCGAGAGGAGGAAGAGGCGAAGATGATCGAGGAAAGGGCAAAGGGGGAGGATGAAAGTGCGAAGGGGAGGGAGGAAGGAGCAAAGGAGGAGGAAGGGGCAAATGTGGAAGGGGAAGGGACAAAGGAAGAGAAGGAAAGGAGAAAGGGGGAGGAGAAAGGAACAAAGCGAGATGAGGAAGAGACAAAGCGAGAGGAGGAAGGGACAGAAGGGGAGAAGGAAATGGTAAAAGGGGGGGAGGAAGGGTCAAGGCGAGAGGAGGAAGGGGCGAAGGTTGTGGAGGCAAGGGCAAAGGGGGAGGATGAAATAGCGAAGAGGAAGGAGGAAGGAGCAAAGAAGGAGGAGGAAGGGGCAAAGGTGGAAGGGGAAGGGACAAAGGAGGAGAAGGAAAGGGCAAAGGAGGAGAAGGAAGGGACAAAGGAGGAGGTGGAGGAAGGGACAAAGCGAGAGGAGGAAGGGACAAAGCGAGAGGAGGAAGGGACAAAGGGGGAGAAGGAAATGGTAAAAGGGGGGGAGGAAGGGTCAAGGCGAGAGGAGGAAGGGGCGAAGGTTGTGGAGGAAAGGGCAAAGGGGGAGGATGAAATATCGAAGAGGAAGGAGGAAGGAGCAAAGAAGGAGGAGGAAGGGGCAAAGGTGGAAGGAAAAGGGACAAAGGAGGAGAAGGAAAGGATAAAGGGGGAGGAGGAAGGGACAAAGCGAGAGGAGGAAGAGGCAAAGGGGGTGGAGGAAAGGGCAAAGGGAGAGGATGAAAGAGCAAAGGGAGAGGATGAAAGAGCGAAGGGAGAGGATGAAAGAGCGCAGGGAGAGGAGGAAGGAGCAGAGGAAGGGGAAGCCATAAAAGGGAAGCATGAAACAGAAACTTCGTTTAGGGTAGGGACAAAGGGGGAGCAGGCGAAGGGGAGGGAAGGAGGAGGAGGCATGGCAGTGCTAGCGGATAAGGTGAGAGGGAAATCAGGGGAGATGGTGGGAGGTGTGGAGGGGATGAGGAAGGTGGAAGAAGAGAAAGCAGAGAGGAAAGTAGAGGCAACAGTTGTGGGAGGAAAGCGAGAGGTGCTTGAGGCGATGCTCGGAACGTCAGGTGTGGAGGCGGCAGGTGTGGAGACGGCAGGTGTGGAGACGGCAGGTGTGGAGACGGGGGGCAGTGCCGAGCAAGCTGCGGGCGGTGATGCTGGCAGTGCGTTTGCTGGGGAAGTGGGGAATGGGTCGGAGCAGATGGGTGAAGGTGCACTGGCGGCTGGCAGGGGGCAGCTGCAGGAGGCAGAGCCGACGGGGCAGAGAGAGGCGAGCAGCTTGGGTGGGCTGGCGGCAGCAGGGAGGGCAGTGGAGGAGAGTGTGGAGCGGAAAAGTGGAAAGCGGGTGGGTCCCCCTGGAGAGGTGGTAGTGGAGGCTGGAGCAAAGGAGGGGAAAAGGGAGGAGGAGAGAGGAGAGGAGGGGAAGGAGAGCGGGGATGAGGGGAAGGCGAGAGGGGAAGAGGGGAAGGAGAGAGGGGAGGAGCGGAAGGAGAAAGAAGAGGAGGGGAAGGAGAAAGGCGAGGAGGGGAAGGAGAAACGGGAGGAGGGGACGGAGAGAGGGAAGGAGAAAGAAGAGGGGACGGAGAAAGAAGAGGAGGGGAAGGAGAAAAGAGAGGAGGGGAAGGAGAGAGGGGAGGAGGGGAAGGAGAGAGGGAATGAGGGGAAGGAGAATGAAGAGATGAAGGAGAAAGAAGAAGGGAAGGAGAAAGAAGAAGAGGGGAAGGAGAAAGAAGAGGAGGGAACGGAGAGAGGGGAGGAGGGGAAGGAGAGATTGATGGAGGGGAAGGAGAAGGGGGAGGAGGAAAAGGGGGGGAGAGAGGAGGAGGGAAGGAAGGAGCGTGAGGATGAGAAGGAAGCAAAGGACGAAGCAAATGAGAAGAATAACGATGTGCATTTGTTGGGGAGTGAAAGGGAGGCGAGGCAGAAGAGAAAGAGAGACTCTACAGAGGAGTGTGAAGGGGGAAATGAAGAAACCAAAGTGATGGAAGAGAGGGAGAGAGCTGGAGATGTGGGTAGAGAGGAGGTGAAGAAGAGAGGAGTGAACTCAGTGGTGGAGGAGAGTGAGGGTCATGCGTGCAGTGCTGGGCAGGTGGATGCGGGGAGGCAAGTGGATGGGGCGGGGCAAGTGGATGCGATGGGGGTGGCAGATGAGAAGCAGCTGGGGCTTGTTGGTAGCGCAGCCACCCACGACTGGGCTGTTGTTGTCACTGCCATTGCCCACTCTCCACATGCCACTGCTGCTCCCGCTGCTCCTGCCGCTGCTGCTGCCACTGCTGCTGCCACTGCTGCTGCCACTGCTGCTGCCACTGCTGCTGCTGCTGCTGCTGTTGCTCCTGCTCACTCCCCCAACGTTCCTACTGCCACAGCTGCTCCTCATTCCCCCAACGTGCCTGCGGCTCCTGCTGCTGCTGCTGCCGCTGAGACAGAGACTGCCAAAGCTGACGCAGAGACTGCCAAAGCTGACACAGAGACTGCCAAACCTGACGCAGAGACTGCCAAAGCTGACACCGATACTGCCAAAGCTGACACAGAGACTGCCAAAGCTGACACAGAGACTGCCAAATCTGACACAGAGACTGCCAAAGCTGACACCGATACTGCCAAAGCTGACGCAGAGACTGCCAAAGCTGACACCGATACTGCCAAAGCTGACGCAGAGACTGCCAAAGCTGACACCGATACTGCCAAAGCTGACACACAGACTGCCATAGCAGATGCTGAGTGTGTTTCACGGGTCCCTCCCTCCACCTTGAAAGAAGCTTCGCCTGCTGTGGAGAGACAAATGGCTCTGACCTGTCACACCAAATCTGAGGCTGCAACTGCTGTTGAGGCTGTAACTGCTGTTGAGGCTGCAACTGCTGTTGAGGCTGCTGCAACTGCTGTTGAGGCGGCTGCAACTGCTGTTGAGGCTGCAACTGCTGTTGAGGCTGCAACTGCCGTTGAGGCTGCAACTGCTGTTGAGGCTGCTGCAGTCACTGATGCAAGTGTTGCTGCAAGCCCTGATATTGCCGCTGCTGTGAACGGTAGTCGTGTCACTGTTACTGGTGCTCCTGCTGATGCGGCTGCTGCTGATGCTGCTTCTGCTTCTGGTGATGCTGATGCTTCCGCTCCTGGTGCTGCTGATTTTTCTGCTCCTGGTGCCGCTGATGCTTCTGCTCCTGGTGCTGCTGATGCCTCTGCTCCTGGTGCTGCTACTGATGCCTCTGCTCCTGGTGCTGCTGATGCTTCTGCTCCTGGTGCTGCTGATGCCTCTGCTCCTGGTGCTGCTGATGCTTCTGCTCCTGGTGCTGCTGATGCTTCTGCTCCTGGTGCTTCTGATGCTTCTGCTCCTGGTGCTGCTGATGCTGCTTCTCCTGGTGCTGCTGATGCTTCTGCTCCTGATGCTGTTGATGCTTCTGCTCCTGGTACTGCTGATGCTTCTGCTCCTGGTGCTGCTGATGCTTCTGCTCCTGGTGCTGCTGATGCTTCTGCTCCTGGTGCTTCTGATGCTTCTGCTCCTGGTGCTGCTGATGCTGCTTCTCCTGGTGCTGCTGATGCTTCTGCTCCTGATGCTGTTGATGCTTCTGCTCCTGGTACTGCTGGTGCTTCTGCTCCTGGTGCTGCTGATGCTTCTGCTCCTGGTGCTGCTGATGCTTCTTCTCCTGGTGCTGCTGATGCTTCTGCTCCTGGTGCTGCTGATGCTTCTGCTCCTGGTGCTGCTGATGCTTCCGCTCCTGGTGCTGCTGATGCTTCTGCTCCTGGTGCTGCTGATGCTTCTGCTCCTGGTGCTGCTGATGCTGCTTTTCCTGGTGCTGCTGATGCTTCTGCTCCTGGTGCTGCTGATGCTTCTGCTCCTGGTGCTGCTGATGCTGCTTCTCCTGGTGCTGCTGATGCTTCTGCTCCTGGTGCTGTTGATGCTTCTGCTCCTGGTGTTGCTGCTGATGCCTCTGCTCCTGGTGCTGCTGATGCTTCTGCTCCTGGTGCTGCTGATGCTTCTGCTCCTGGTGCTGCTGATGCTTACGCTCCTGGTGCTGCTGATGCTTCTGCTCCTGGTGCTGCTGATGCTTATGCTCCTGGTGCTGCTGATGCTTCTGCTCCTGGTGCTGTTGATGCTTCTGCTCCTGGTGCTGCTGATGCCTCTGCTGCTGCTGTTCGTGATGCAACAGATGCTGCTACCACGAGTCCTGCTGTTTCTGTTGCTGCAGCTGTTGATGCTGTTACTGTGCCTGTTGCTGCTGGTGCTGCTGCTGCTACTGATGCTGTTACTACAATTTATGATGCTCGTGTTGTTTCTGCAACTGGTGCTGCTGATTCTTCTGCTTCTGGTGCTGCTGATGCTTCTGCTCCTGGTGCTGTTGATGCTTCTGCTCCTGGTGCTGCTGATGCCTCTGCTGCTGCTGTTCGTGATGCAACAGATGCTGCTGCCACGAGTCCTGCTGTTTCTGTTGCTGCAGCTGTTGATGCTGTTACTGCGCCTGATGCTGCTGGTGCTGCTGCTGCTACTGATGCTGTTACGACACCTGATGATGCTCGTGCTGCTGCTGCCACCGATGCTGTTGCTACGCCTGATTCTGCTGGTGTTGCTGCTCAGAGGGTTGATGCAGCTGCCACTGCACCAGCTGCCACTGCACCGGGTGGGAGGCCATCTGACAGATCACCTCCCCCACCGAAGAGGGTTCGCCTTACTACCGCATACCTGCGAAAAATGCTGGCTGGAAAGAGCAGTGGGGGACGAAGCGTGAGTGGGGCAACAGGAAGAGGAGGAGGCAGAGGAGGAGCACGTGTGGGGCAAGCAGCAGGAGGAGTGGGCAGAGCAAGAGAGGGCGGTGTGAGTGGGCGAGCATCTTCAGGTTCAGCACTGCTGTCACCTGCCGTGCATCTATTGCCAGCCATGCGTCTCTCTCCAGCCCAACAGCAGCACGCCCTTGCGTTCCTCTTGGCCCAGCCCCACCCCCCCTCCCCGTTCCCCACGCCTCACTCGTCCTTCCCCCCGCCCTCCTCCCCTGCCCTTTCGCCTCCTCCTCTTCCTCTTGCTCCCAGCCACCAGTCGGCCCCAGCAGCAGTAACAGCAGCAACAGCGCCATCAGCAGCAGCAGCGCCAGAGGCAGCAGCAGCGCCAGTGGCAGGAGCACCAGCAGCAGCAGGTTCGGCTGTGGTGTCTCAGCTCTGCCCCCCTCAACTCTCAGCCCCGCCCACTCTCCTCTCCCTCCCACCCTCCTTCCGCCCTCCCACTGTCCATCCCCCCTATACTCCTCACACACCGAATCACATGGTGCCAGCACATCAGCCCCTCTCTGCCCCTTCCCTCTCAGGTAGCCTCACTCCAGCCCCCACTGCTTGCTCCCATACCCACCAAGCCTCTGCCCCCCCGCACACGGACTTGAATGATGTGCCGTTATCAGGTTCGGAATTAGGCTCGGATGCAGGCTTGGGTGGAGGCGTGGGAGGGAAGGACGGAGAGGATGGTGAGAGAAGCGGGCGAGTGGAGAATGAGAGAGGGGTGGATGGGAAGAAGAGAGAGAGGGAGACGAGAGAGGTGGACAAGAGAGCGGAGGATACAAAGAGAGAGGAGGAGGAGAAGAGGGCGGAGGAGGAAAGGAGAATGGCGGAGGGGCGGAAAGTGGTGCGGAGGCTGCAGGGGAGGAGGGGGGCAGGGAAGGACTTTTGGGAGAAGATTGATGATGAGGTGAGTGCGGCAGCTGCTGCTGTCTGTTGGTAGTTTATGCTTCTGCGTTTAACTCCTGCTTCTGCAGCCCATGTGTGCGTCTGCTCGTTGCCTTGATTGGCCACATTCTCTCCTCGTTCAGTCAGCCCCTCTCTACTCACTCTCCTCGTTCAGTCAGCCCCGCTCTACTCACTCTCCTGATCCTCCCATCCCCCTCTGTGTCCCTGTCTGCCCATCAGATCGACACTCTCTTTCTGCCCCGCCTCTGCCCACCTCTCAACTGCCCCTCCTCACACAAGGCCCCTCCCCCTCTGCACTTCCACCCACCCTCTCAGCCTCCTTCCTCCATGCCTCCTCCTCTCGCACCTCCTCTCAACTCCCTTCCTTCGTTTCCTCACCCCTCTGCACCCATCTCCAACCCCGCCCACCCCCCTGCACCCACCATGCCTCAGTTGCTGCATGTCCCCTCTCTCAGTGCACCCTATGTGAACCCCTCTAACTCTTCGCACACTCACGGCCCCACACAAGCTCACACACACACACCGGCACACACACACACCGGCACACACACACCCACACACACTGGCCATGCCGGTTCACCCAGCAGTCTCACTCACGCCCGGAAGCCCAGCAGTACCCAGCCCAGCAGTACCCAGCCCAGCAGTACCCAGCCAAGCAGCAAGCAGAAGGCAAAAGAGGAGCGGCAGGGCCAAGTACCGTTCAGTGCACCATTTGGGTAAGAAAGTATCCTGAACGCCATTGAACGCCTCTCACATTGCCACCTCATGCTCTACTCGCCATCGGGACGCTGCATTATAACTGATCTGATCCTTGCCTTGCCTCACTGCCTCCCTCATCAACCCCACGGGTGCCGCTCTTGCTCTCAACCCACCTGTGCTTTCTGTTCGGAACATCTGCATGTGATTAAAGGACGTGTAACTCATTTCAACCTCCCTTCGCCAGTGATTTTTGAGAATTCTCAAAAGATGCTCTTGCCCTTGACCTACCTGTGCTTTCTGTTCAGAACATGTGCATGTGATTAAAGGACGTGTTACTCATTTCAACCTCCCTTCGCCAGTGATTTTTGAGAATTCTCAAAAGATGCTCTTGCCCTTGACCTACCTGTGCTTTCTGTTCAGAACATGTGCATGTGATTAAAGGACGTGTTACTCATTTCAACCTCCCTTCTCTTCCCCTTTCCCTTTCTCCCCGCGCACACTGTATGACCCACCAGCAGGTTCCCCCTCCACCCAGTTGCAGCATTCCCCTCCCTCCTCGCCCTTCCTCCCTGCCCCTCTCTCGATTCTCTCCTCTCTTCGCTGCTCCCCGAACCAGAAGGAACACATTCAAAGGATATGCCAGGGCAAAACGGAGAGCACGAGAAGGGAGGCATGGGCATCATAGGCAAGAGTAAGCAGATAGGGGTGCAGTCAGATGGGCAGAACGAGAAAGAAAAGGCAGGCGGTGGAGAGACCAACAATGCTGATGGCAATTTGCTGTGGCAGTATGAAGAGTTTTTTCTGCCCCCGTTTCCCTGGCTGGCGAAGGCTGGTGCTCCTGGTAAAGCGGTTCGGGCACGTGATCGATCCCGGGCAGCGGAAAATGTTTGTGGCAGCTTAGACAGTGAGATTGTGCAGAGAGGAGATTCGGAGGGTAGAGGGGGAGGCATGGAGAAGGATGGGAGGGAGGGCAGTGGGGGAATTCATGGTGTTGGCGGTGCGCTAAGTGGAAGTGGATTGCTTAACAAAGAGCGGATGTTTAAACGATTGAAAACAGAGGGTGATGGAGGGGGGTTTGGTGGGCGTGAGGTGGATGAATGGACCGAGGAGAGTGAGGAGCAAGAGGTGGAGGAAGAAGAGGAAAAAGAGGGGGAGGGGGAGGGGGAGAGGGAGGAAGAGGGGGAGGGGAAGGAGGAGGGGGAGGAAGAAGAGGGGGAGGAAGAAGAGGAGGATGAGGGCGAGGAGGAGGTAACTGTGGAAGTTGAGGGAGAGGGGGAGGGTGATGAAGGGGAAGAGACAGAGGATGAGGTGGAGGGAAGAGAGGAGGCAGAGGAGAGGTAGAGGGCAGGGAAAAGGGGGGGTTGCATCAGAAGGCAGTGTGGAAAGGAGAGGACGAGGCGAGCTTGCTGCTGATGGGATAAAGACAAATGGGCTCCTCTCTGTGCCGCCTGCTTTCGGCACCCGTCCAGCAGCACCCATCCATGACCCGTCAAACGCACTCCACTCACCCCACGCACACACACATGCCTCTCCACACGGCCACACCCACTCGGCTCCTCTGCACCCATCTGCTGCCCCTCTTACCCATCCGCACACCTCCCTCTCCCCTGCCCCTCCTGCCATTCCACCCAGCCCTAAACACCCCAGCCCCTGCCAGACAGGAAGAGGCGAGCAAGGGAGAGGGGAGGGAGGGCGAGTGAGAGGAGGGTCAAAAGGAGGAGGGAGAGGTGAAGGAGGGAAGGGGAATGGTAGGAATACAGGAAAGGGAATCTCGTCTCCGTCTCCTCCTCTCGCTGCCTCGCCTGGTCTTGTTCCTCCCATTTCACTGCCTTCCGCTCATGCCACTGGCGCCGCTGCTGCTGCTACTTCTGCAGGGGGAGCAGGGGGAGCAGGGGGAGCAGGGGGGACAGGGGCAGCACCTTTGTCGACCCGTTTGCTGCACTCCCCCCTTACTGCCCCTCCCTTCGTTCCTCCCTCGGCTGCTGGAAGTCATGCCGCTGCTTCCGCTGATGCCGCTGCCTCCATGTCACTGCAGCTACCCCCACCCGAGTTCAAGCCCAGACGAACCTCCTCCCTCTCCTCCTCCTCCCTCTCCTCCTCCTCCCCACTCCTCCGCCCGCCGGCCCTCCTCCCCCCCTCCTCTCCCCTCCTCCGGGCCGCCTCTGCATCCACAGCAGCTGCAGGTGCAGGCGCAGCAAGCAGCACAGAGGCAGCAACAGCAACAGACGATGGGCTGGGGATGAAGATCTCGCTGGTGGGGGCTGGCGAGGGCAAGGGCTGATGGGGGGTGATGAGGGGAGGAGGAGGGCGCATGGCGGGTTGCTGGTGGGCAGTAGAGGGAGTCTTTTTGGTCCCTCTGCTCTGGGTTTGGTATCGGTGGGAGCAGCAGGTGGGGTGGCAGGAGGGGCAGATGCAGCGGGAGAGGCAGCAGCAGGAGGGGCAGTATGGAGAGGGGCAGTAGGGGGAGGGGCAGTAGGGGGAGGGGTAACAGGAGGGGCAGCAGCAGGAGGGACAGCAGCAGGAGCGGTGGAGGGCGAGGAGGAGGAGGATGCAGTGGCTGCTCTGGCTGCCATGGCTGCCGCTGCTACTGCTGCCCTGCCAGGAGACTCCCACAGTGATTCGCCTCTTGCTCACACACACGGTGGTGCGACCACCACTCACACACTCGGTGCACGAGACGAGGTCCCTTCCAAGGGAGTGCCCAGAGGAGCAAAGCATAGCAGCTCTGTTGCTGCAGATACCCCTGCTTCTCCCGCTCGTGCTGCTGCCAATGCAGGTGGCAGCAAGCCAGCAGGCGGTAAGGGGCGTTTGGCCGGGTCGGGGAAGGGAGAGGGCGCAGGGGCAGGGAAGGTGGGTGCCGCGAGCGCAGGAGGGAAAGCAGGGGGGGTTGCTGGAGAAGCAGGAGTAGGAGCAGCAGGGGTTGGGAAAAGTGCTGCAGGGGGGGATGGTGCGGCTGTAGGTGGTGCTCCCGCAGGGGTTGGTGCTGCAGGTGGCGGCGCTGTGAAGGTGGGGAAGAAGAAAGGGAGAGGCCCGGCAGTTGTGGTGTCGAAAATGAGTGTGGCGGGAAGAGAAGGGGCAGCTGCAACGACTGCCACTGCCGCTGCAAGTGCTGCTGCTGCTGCTGCTGCTGCTGCTGCTGCTGCTGCTGCTGCTGTGAGTGGTGCTGTTGCTGGTGGTGATGCTGCTGCAAGTGACGGTGCTGGTGCTGCAAGGGAGGAGCGTGCAGGCATGTTGAGCCACTTGGCTGCTCTATTGGACCAAACCACTGAAGGATCAAGAGGTGGACGAAGCGGGGGTGCTGCTGGTGTGGGTGGCAGTGGTGGTGGTGGTGCTGCTGCTGGTGCGAGTGGGGTGAAGTTAGGGAAGCTTGCTGGTAAAGTGGAGAAGCGGGAGGGGAAGAAAGGGCCAAAGGAGCGGGGCAGGGAGCACACTGTCCCAGTGTCAAAGCCGTCAGCAGCAATGGCAGGGACTGCTGGGGAGTTTGGGGTCTCCCAGAAAACCACAAGTGCTGCTGCTTCTACTGCTGTTGCTGCTGCTGCTGCTGCTGCTGCTGCTGCTGCTGCTGCTGCTGCTACTGGTGCTGCTACTGCTCCTGCAGGTTCTGTCGTGCCTTCTCCTGCTGGAAAGGTCTCGCCGCTTGTGAGACCTTCCCCTTCCCCCCCTGCTGCAGTCTCTACTACTCCCACGCCACCCAGGCTTGGTGTGACCACCAGCACCAGCGCCAGGCCCCCTCTCTCTCCTGCTGCGGATCACACAGGCAAGAAACGTGCAAGGCCAGGGCCAGGCGGAGCAGCAGCAGGGATTTCTCCCCTCGCCCGCCCCCTCGCCTCCCCCATCGTACCTCCTCTAGAACAAGGGCTGGGAGAGGGTAACCGAGGGCACAGTGTGGAGGGAGAGGAAGTGGGTGGGGAAGGAGGGGAGGGTGCAAGGGGAGGGGGGAGGGAGGAGGGGGCAGAAGTTGTGAAGAAAGGCCGTGGTCGGCCGAAAGGCTCCAAGAAGATTGGCAAGAAAGGTGGGTGCTGAGGGGTAAGGATGATTTGAAATGGGTGTTGAGGTGTGAGGATGATTTGGGGTGGGTGTCGAGAGCACAAGGATGGCTCGAAGTGAGGTTCAAGGGAGGGGGATGGCATGTGCGAGAGGTGGCACGTCAATTACTAAGTGTCTATCTTTTATCTTTCCTGTCCTGTGCTCCTCCTCCCTGTTATCTCCTCCCCTCCACGTTCTGGCCCTACACAGCAGGTGATTCCCCAGCTGCACCACCCGTTAGTGCCGCTGCAGCAGCGTCAGCACCGTTGCTGGCAACAGCAAGAAGCAGGGAAGGCGGAGGATCAGGAGGAGCAGGAGGAGCAGTAGGTGCAGGAGGGGCAGGAGCGGCAGTGGTGAGGCCAAGGGAAGATACGGCTGCTCTGATGCTCTTCTCCCTCGCCCAGCTGGCTGATGAGGCTGGGGAGGATGGGGAAGGGGTGGAGAGGGAAGAGGAAGGAGAGGAGCGCGAGGATGTGGGATGGGCTCGAGGAGGCCAAGATGAAGCGGGTGGAGATGCTTGTAACGAGGATGGGAATGAATCTTCTGCCGATGCAGCAGGAGAGGGAGGCGGAGGGGGAATTGCCTTGGGGAATGCGAGTAAGAGAAAGCTATACAGGGACGGAAGCAGGGATAGCGATGTGGATGCAAAGAGACTGCAAGAAAGGGCGATGGGTAGTGGGTTTGGAGAGGGGAAAGAAGAAGAGCAAGAAGAGGAAGAGGAAGAGAAAGAGGAGGAAGAGGAAAAAGGGGAAGAGAAAGAAGAGGAAGAGGAGGAGAAAGAGGAGGAAGAGGAAATCGAGGAAGAGAGGGTGGTGGTGGTGGCGCCACGCAAGCGCAGACGCACCGCTACAGCCACTGAGCCAGTGGTGCTGCCAGGTGTGCGACGAGATGCCGTGCCTGTTCCGCCTGCTTTTGAGTCGACTCAGAAGCACACTCCGCCTGGAGAGCAGAGAGAGCAGAAGAAGAACGCAAAGCAGAAGGACCGGTGTGGACTCGAGGAGGTGGAGGAGGAGAGGGAGGAGGAAGCTGTATTGGTTGATCATCAGTTTCATGAAGAGGATACCTTGCACTCTCACTCGCGCTCCCCATCGCCACCATTGCGTGTGTCTCCTTCCCAGTCCCCATCCCCCGAACCTCGTTTTCGGCGTGTCAGAAAAGCATCGTCACCACCACCATCATCCCCATCCCCATCCCCATCCCCATCCCCATCCCCATCCCTATCACCATCACCATCCCCATCTGCGTCATCATCCCTACCAGCATCGCCAGCCCGCAGTGGAAGCTTCGAGGACGCCAGTGGGGGAGGCGGTGCTGCCCTCTCCACCCTCCCACTCCCTCTCCCCGCTGCTGCTGCCACCACTCACGACACTGATCTTACGAGTCTCTCCCCTGCTGCTGCTGCTGCTGCTGCTGCTGCAAGTGGGCGTAGACGGGTGGGTGCGGCAGCTAGGAGGGGGTATGGCGAGCAGGGGGGGGAAGCGGGGGAGGAGGGGCGGCAGGGGGGAGCAGAAGAGGCAGAGGATGAGGAGGAGGAGGACAAGCCAAGGAGGAGGCGAAGGCGGAAGCTGCACCTGCTGCCTGAAACGCCTGTGGGGAAAGGGGCAGGGAGGAAGAAGGCACGTACCGGTAGGTCTGGAGGGTCGAGTTTCTAGAGTTTGCACAAGTGACTCCAACATAGGTGAGGAGGAGGCGAAGGCAGAAGATGCACCTGCTGCCTGAAATGCCCGTGGGCAAGGTAGCAGGGCGGAAGAAGGCACGCTCTGGCAGAGGGGGAGGGGCGGAAGGGGGAAGAGTGAGATAGTGGTGTGGTGTGGAGGTGAAGTGAATGAGGGCCGGTGGTGTGGTATGGGAGGAACAGAGCGGCTGCCCTGCTGGAGTGGCAGTGGTTGTGGCTACAGTAGTAGCTGCTTGAGCCGCGACCCAATCGTGCTACTGTGTTACAATGCCTTGAAAGGTAAATGGCCCGCTAAAAAGCGAGCTGTGAGGAGGGCTGCCTTTTCTACTGCAGGAGGAGCCGGTGTGCCAATGTCAAGGGTGAAAGGAAATAGGATGTGGTGCTTGAAGGCACGAGTGTGGCACTGCTCGTGAGTCCTGACCGTTGTCCTAGTGGTTGTTTCACACATCCTATATATATTTTATCGTTTGTGACCACCCCACCCCACCCCCTATGATTTCTTTTACCGTACCACCATTAAAAAGAGCAACCTAGGCAGGGTTTTTTTTTGGTTTTAGAGTACTCTGTTTTCCAGAGGCGTTTTTTTCGTGGCACTGAAATCCAGAGTTCCAGGCGAGCATTTCTCTGATCGGTCAGAGTAACACAAGGTTTCGAAAATAAAACCCTGGCACCACAGTGTATTTTTTTTATATACTCTGATGTTTAAAAAACACTGCTACCGTATAATTGTTTCCGTACAGGTCCTCATGCCTGTACAGTGTAACTTTGAACGTGCGCCTGATGCACACCACGCAGAAACCGAAGCCCAGACACAGGGCGGGTGCTACACGACGGTCTGTCGTCAGGACCAGCAGCGTCACCTTCGGCGTCAGTGCTACCCATTGTCACTGGAGGCGCGGGTCTGTGGCTGGGGGAGCCCATTGCACACGGGCTAGACAGGTGAGGGACCCGCACCTGGAAATAGAGCAATAGGTGCACCGGTGCGCACCGCGCACGGAAACAAAGCCCCGCGTATGCCTTTCCGGCCAATCAGAATCCAAGGTGGTGCCAACACACGGGTGAAACGAGATGGATACACCATGCGCCTCGGCCAAAAACTGGTGAATTGGGGATAAGGGGGAATGTGGGGGTTCGGGTTCGGGGGTACATGTATCCACTGTACAGAGTAAACTCGCTATTCCGGAAAGCTACCCTGGCCCTTCAGAGTGCCCCTACACAAAAACTCTGACATATCAGAGAAAAAGTAACTCTCAAAAAACTTACATAGCAGGTACAGAGTGCCCTATCAAAAACCACTCTGATTTTCAGAGAAACAGAGTAAATTACACTGATAAAAAAAGCCCTGAACCTAGGGTGTTATGTACATATATATACAGGGTAATACGGTATGTTGCCTGCTCAGAATCACCAGTTACCAACATATCCGACTCCCCACTCCCGCCCATCCCTTCATGACAAGAACCAAATGCTTGCATCAAACCATGTTGAAACATATACTGTACACACTTTGATACAAAACCAAATCATGATATCGAAGTAGCTTTTTACAAGCTTTCAAACTATTCCGCCGGCCATCAATTGTGCGTGAAGACAGCCGTTGCTTCACCCTCATGCATGACTTGTTCATTAAGCAGTGCTAGGTCCTCCTCCATGCTCCTTCTTAACCGCTGACTCGACAGCTTCTCGTCTACCCTCGCTGCTGCTCGCGCTCTCGCGTCCCCCTCTCCCACCTCCTCTTGCATAATCTCCAGGTATTGGGCCACTCGGGACATGGACGGGCGGGAGGCAGTGGGCATGGCAGTGCAGGTGACAGCGAGGTGGGCAAGGCGCAAGGTGATGTCTTCTGGTGCTTCCATGCGGGGGTCCTTGAGGTGTGTAATCTTCCCTGCAGCCATCACATCAGTTGCCTGGGATGCGGGGCAGGAAAGACGTGATATGGGGCAGCGGCAGGAAAGACATGACAGGGGCAGGAAATACATGACGTGGGGCAGGAACGACATGATATGGGGCAGGAAAAACAGTTATGGAGCAGGAAAGACATGATGGGGGCCGGGCAGGCACATGATCGGGGGTGAGAAAGGCATGACAGGGGTGCGAAACACATCTGCGGGCACAGCAGGTGAAGGGAACCCTGACGAGTAAAAGCGTAAACAGATGCGGTTAGAGCGCTTGAGGAAAGAACAGAGAAGACACTGCCGGGCGGAAGCGGGGATTCCAGACACACTCATTTGCAAACACACCCAATTTGCAAACACACTCATTTGCAAACACACCCAATTTGCAAACACACCCAATTTGCAAACACACTCATTTGCAAACACACCCAATTTGCAAACACACTCATTTGCAAACACACCCAATTTGCAAACACACTCATTTGCAAACACACCCAATTTGCAAACACACCCAATTTGCAAACACACTCATTTGCAAACACATCCATTTGCAAACAAACCCAGATGCAAACACACCCATACACACCCATTTGCAAACACACCAATTGCAAACACCCATTTGCAAACACACCCATTTGCAAACACACCCACTTGCAAACACACCCATATGCAAACACACCCATTTGCAAACACACCCATGTGCAAAACACACCCATTTGCGAAAACACCCACATGCAAACACACCCATTTGCAAACAAACCCAGATGCAAACACACCCATTTGCGAAAACACCCACATGCAAACACACCCATTTGCAAACAAACCCATATGCAAACACACCCATTTGCAAATACACCCATTGCAAACACCCATTTGCAAACATACCCATTTGCAAACACACCCATTTGCAAACACATCCATTTGCAAACACAACCATATGCAAACACACCCATTTGCAAACAAACCCATTTGCAAACAAACCCATAAACACACCCATTTGCAAACACACCCACTTGCAAACAACCATTCGCAAACACAACCATTTTCAAACACACCCATTTGCAAGCACACCCATTTGCAAACACACCCATTTCGAGATGGAAATTGGCTCGTGGCTGGCACAGGCGTCTGGCTCAGTGCCTGGGCTCATCGTGTTGATGGTTGCTCCTCTGCCTGACAGCATCACCAGCATGAGCACACCAAAACTGCATCACAACACACATCCGAGAACAAATAGAGAAGAGCTACTCTCAAATCAGTTCTCGGTGACCGTGGTCACAACAAAGGCTCGTTGCATCGATGGTAGCTCTTCTGCCGGACCGCATTGCCTACATGAGAATGCCAAAGCTGCACCGCGGAACACATTCGATTACAAAGGAAGCAAGAGAGGAAGCAAGGGAGCAAGGGATCAAGGACGCTTGGAAGAAAGGGAGCAAGAAATTAAGAAAGCATGTGTTATGTGGTGCCATCATTCGCATTCACGTCTGTCTGCCTCCCATCAAATGATCGTACGTTGCATGCATGGTGTGAGCATGTGAAAAAATTGTGTTTTGTGGTTTGGATATTTTGAACGTGTGTGAATATTAGCTTGCTTAAGCTTATATCAGAACTAACTTCCCTGCTCGAGAGCTTTCCGACGAACCAAGAATCGTCGCGATTGGAGCAAGAACGAGAAAATTATGATCGTTCGGAGTTCTGATTGTGATGCGGTGACTTTGAGAATTTGTGGAGTTACTCTATATAGGGTATAGACTTTTGGGGGTTGGAAAATTCGTCATGATTACTGTAAATGATGCCAAGTGGTTGGAAGAAGCCAAACCAGGTTGGCACGTGTGACGAAGTTGGGTGAGGTGGATTTAAGAGGTTGGGAAAAAGACAAGGGTGAAGGTTGAGTTCCTTTTAGGGAGGGAATTTTGTGAGCATATGGGGTGTTCTTGGTTGGGACTCCCTAGAGACCTTCTCTCTCGTCCTCCTCATCCCCTCCTACCTGGTTTCTTGCTATAATAATTCTCTTCTGTGGATATTTGTTGAACAATTAAATTTGAAAGTTCCAGTTACTGCATACCCCTCGGTGCGCCGAAATTCATAGCGCGAGTTATACTCCACCTTTTAATACGATTCAAAATGGAAAAGATAGCCACAGTCAATGGCCACAACATATCGAGTTTTGAGAAATCCTAACAGTTAACTTTTCGTCGACGACGTTTCTTGTGAAGTCGACATTTCTGTCCAGAAACTAGGACCAACGATTTTGAGTTATTTCAACCCCTAAACATTTTAGACTCCGTCCTTAGTCTTTAACAGTATGGCCCAACCCACGCCATAAGTTTGGAAACTATGGGGAAGACGCAGTGCCATGTCAAGCGCCATTTCACAACGAGAGGAAAGAATGCAAGTGCCGGCAGATAATAATAGATGAGAGGTGAAGTAGATGATTTGGTGGAAATTGACACCAACATTGAGTGGATGCATGAAGCAATTATGTGTATCTCATTCTCCATTGAGCGTGCATTAAGCAAGGTAAAGGTCGTGGTTTGACCCACGTATTGATTAGATTCACTGTTTGAAACAGGTCATCCACTGCAGGGTTGTGAACTTCACGATGACGGCGTTGCGTTTACTCCAACTTGACTTCAAAACCAAACTCAAATTTGCACCGCACCTATAAACGTCAGCAGCGGTGGTGGCGTTGTGTGTCAGCGAGTAAGCAGGGTCCACATAGCCCACCGTTCCCAGCACTCGCGTAAAACCCGTTGTCGTGCCCGTTGCTGTGCCCTCTCCCACATGCACAAGCCCAAAGTCTGCCACCTTCGCCTGGGGAAGGACAAGCAAGGCAGGCAAGTGGAGAGGCGGAGGAGGATTGGGACAAAATGGGTTCATTTGATTCAACCAGGATGGGTTCATTTGATTAAGAGGATGGATTAATTTGACTCAAGATGGCTGTAGCGCATTCTTACCCCACTGCACTCCCTTTGATGTTGTGCATGAACGCCTTGATCAACCCACCTGCATGTGAAGCAAGTGTGTTGCCAACACATGATCACGCACCTGCATGTGTGCATCAATGAGGATGTTGGCTGGCTTGATGTCGCGGTGCACGAGGCCAAAGCTGTGCAGATACTCCAACCCACGCGCCACCCCTAGTAGGATGCCCAACCGCTGCTGCAGAGTCAAGCTTGTGGGCGCATCTGGAGAATGGCAGAACAGAGGCAACGCCGCATGGGAGGGAAGCAGCGTTGGAGAAAAGAGACAGCACTACAACTGCAAAGTTGACACAGAACGGCGTGGTTGAGACAGGATGGCGTGGTTGAGACAGGATGGCGTGGTTGGAGAGGACTGGACGGTACCTGGGCCGATCCAGCTGCTCAGGTCGCCATAAGTGCCGGTCGACACAACAGACAACAGAATGAACCGGGCAGTACCTGGGGCGATCCACGTGCTACACAGCAATGGACCGAGCAGTACCTGGGGCGATCCAGGTGCGCAGGTCGCCGTTGGCGATGAACTCGTAGACGAGAATGTTCTCCACCCGTGTGTTCACATGGCCTCCCACTGCATACCCCAGCAGCCGCACCAGATTCGGATGGTGCTTCGTTGCCATCTGCGCCACCTGTGGTAGGGGAAGTGAAGAGAGGGGCAGGAAAATATGGATGGAGGGACTGGCACAAGTGCTTGGGAACAGAGAGGGGCAAGAGTTGACGAAGGCCTCTCCTCACATACCCTAGCAGGCGCACCAGATTGGGATGGTGCTTCGTGGCCACCTGAGCCACATGTGTTAGGCAAGGGGGCGAGAGAGGAGCAGGAAGGAAGGGACTGCATGGGCGGAGAGGGGCAAGCCTTTTCAGTTGACTTAAAGGCCACCTGAGGCACTTGCATGAGATCTTAAGCCGAGAACAAGGGCGATTGGTACAGACTTTTGAGGCGCCTGAAGCTCAAAAGTCTGTACCAATCTGAGCTACTAGTGCGAGGCGCGGTGGAGCAGAGGGATTTATAGACAGAATGCAAGTGAAACCGATTTCGATACTCACAGAGATCTTGACATTTACATATCCATGCACTTTTGTAGTTGGATATCACTTGCGCACGTGAAAAAACAAGTTAGCCGCGCTTCTGTTGGCCCACATCTATGTGGAAGCCAGCGGTGATAACCTTGGCTTGTCTGGAATCTCGTTTCGCACCCATGTTGACCCACCTCTCTGTGAAAGTCAGCAGTGATGACTTTGGCGCGCTTCACAGCCCACAGCGTGGTGCCATCCTCGGGGCACACCCCGCGGTACACGTCTCCGTATGACCCCGACCCCAGCAGGCACTCCTTGGACCAGTTGTTGGTTGCACGCGCCACCACGGCCAGCGAGTACCGCCGGCATGGTGTAGTTGTGTTCCCCAATTGCGGGCTGAGTGAGTCTGTAGGGATTATGTTAAGTAAAGGGCACGTTTTTTTTTTTTTTTTTTTTTTTTTTTTTTTTTTTTTTTTTGCTTTGTGAGAAGCAACACAGCTGGGAACACAGCGGCTTTGCAAGTTACGTTAGACAAAGATCTGGAGTTGATATGCTGCTCGGTGCTAAAATCTGACAGAATTGAGGTGATTCTTACACACCTGTTCTCCCATGACAAAAGGCAAACACGTGAAAACAAAAACTTACCTTCTGTGGAAATCTTGAAGTGGGCAGCGGCAAACCACCAAGCTGAGGCAATCAGGAGAAGCAACAGGAGAACGGCTGCTGCTGTCACAATGCCGATGACAGCTCCCACAGACAGGCCGGATTGGGAGGAAGGAGCGATGGAGGTGGAGGGCGAGGAGGAGGGGGAGGAGATGTTGACGGGTTGACTGGGTGATGGGGACGGTGGAGGGGAGGCCACGCTTGGTGATGGGGTTGGGGCTGCTTTGGATGGACACATGCACCGGTACAACAGACTCACAGCAAGCATTAAAACACAAGAACTGTATGTATTGGGGAACCAGAACCATAAGCATTGAAGCACCAGAAACACAAGTGGCGAAAATAGTGTTCCTGCTCTCCACAGATGAAGCTGGAAGGTACGAATAGAATAACAGGCACAAACTGGCATTGGTCAACAAAAATTCGCATTGACTGGCATGACTTAGCATTGACTGGCATGTGTCGCGTTATTAACACTTAGCTGGCAACTAAGTGTGAATACCACAGCAGCCAAGGTGAGGGTGTACTATAGTTTACCGCTTTTGTACTCTAATTTCATTTGTGTGCTTGGAATGTATTGTACTGTACTGCAGAGCCGAGTAGCTGGGGAATTTGAGGTGGTTAGTGGGAGGCGAATTCAAGGAGGTTGGTGGAGGCGAATTCAATTCCAGCCTGTGAATTCAATTTCGAAGTCACAAGGCTGGCAGGCGAATTCAATGCCAGCCTGGGAATTCAATTCGAAATTACCAGGCTGGAAGGCGGTGCATGCCTAGTGGGCCCAGTGGGAACACAGCTAGCACCTTGGAGACCTCGCGAGCAGCTCGGCTGACTCGCTTGGTGCACAGGAGCTTGCTTGTGGAGGAAGCAACCTAGGCAGGGGGTGGGAATAGATGTAGGCAGAAGTAGCACTCGGGCTTCTTGCTTTTTGCTTGTATGTTTCTCGTTTACTGCAATTTGCTTTCCTAATCCAGAGGGAGCTAGCAGTAGGAGAAGCTATAAGCAATCTGACGGAGCCCCTGAGGGGGAGTGTTATGCTTGCTACATACAAGCAAAAAGGAGATCGATGACTGTCTTAAGTACAGGAGATAAGCTAGAGGCCTTGAGTCGCTCACGGTGATGCGCCGTGAGGAATGAGTAGGCACGATCAAGATCTGCACACTCATCAGCTGCGCTCGGGATTGCGTTTCCCTGCAAGGGTGATGGAGGGACAGGGCCTGCCAACCAGGACACCTGGATTCCGTGCTGAAGAGGGCGATGCTAACGCTCGCGGGAGTCAGGGATCAGATCGAGAGAGGGAAGGAAACCGACAAGGAGAGCTGCCGCCTAGTGCTACTGGTGGATCACCCGCTGGTGGGAGTGGAATTGGCCACGTTAGGAGTGGATCTCGGGGGGATAATCCTGCTCAAGGAAGAGAAGAGTATCAAGAAGAACGACGCAGTCAGCGCGGGGAAGATGATCATCAAGAGGAACGGCGTAGTCAGCGGGGAGGAGAAGCGTACCACAGCTTTTCAGCAGACGGATACGAAGCTACTGAAGCTAGGCGAGGTGGTCGGCCTGCAGACAGCGGGGACAGAGGGAACCCGAGCTGGGGGACGGGCCGTATGATGAACGCAGCTCTACCGAAGATTGAAGTACCAGACCGTTTCTCGGGGACTCCAGGGGAGGAGCCCACGCTCAAGAATTATCTGATGATGATAGACGACCTGCGTTACCTTTGGGAGAGGGAGAGCCTGGATCCTATCGAGTTCTTCAGAGGTTTGGGGAGGACGCTGAAAGGCGAGGCCCTGACTCACTACCGCGTGGAAAGGCAAGGGCTGTTGATGCAGTGCAAGAGAGGCGATTTCTCACCTGCGATGATAACTGACCGATTTCTGGAGAGTTTACAGGAGCAATTCCCGGGGCACTCTGCTGAACGGATGACGGAGTTCCAAAACTTCACGCGTGCCACCTCGGAGTCGCTGCTAGCCTATTACAACAGGCTGCTGGAACTGGCGGAGGATATGGGGTGTATGGAGGAGCGCCTCTTAGTGACAAAATTTGTCAACGGATTGGACAAGGACCTGATAGGCGACATGAGGAGTCAACTGTATGTTCTGGGAGTACGAGCTACGCTGCGGCAGGTTTACAAGGTAGCGAAGGAAGTGGAAGAAGGGAAGAGATTTTATGATGGGATGCAGGGGTCGAGTTCCAGCAGACCGAACGAGCGGAGACGGCCAGCCTGGGCAGCTATGGAAGGAAGAAGGGGAGAGGAAAAGAGGAAAGAGAGGACATCAGAAGATCCGAGACGCTGTCATAAATGTGGAGAGCAAGGACATCTTCGGAGGGATTGTACGGTGGGAATAATATGCGAGACCTGTGGAGCAAAGGGGCATTTCAGGCGTGACTGCCCTAAGGCGCCGACCTGCACAGGGTGCGGGAAGAGAGGCCATACCGAAGCTAGATGTTACAGCAAGGGAGACAGGGCGAAGGGGAAATCTGCACGGGAGCAGCAGTTAGAGCGAGAATTGGCGAAGCTGAAAGCTCAGATGGAGAAATCTGGGATCAGTGAGGACCCCGAGAAAGCTCTGCTGGCTTGGGAGGATGACGAAGGGGAAGATTCTGAGGAAGGGGAACCTGAATACGGGACCATGGCTATGCCGCCAAGGGAGAGGAAAGACCTGGGGCTGCGCAGCGGAGGGGTAGACGGCAGAGCGGAGCAGAAATCACAAGAGCGGAGAATTTCCAGGCGGCAGGAGAATAAAGGGAATGTCAGCACCGCACGGCGTCACCCCGAGGAAAGGCTAGTTTGTCAGCCCACAGCCTTGGTGGTGGAACCAAAAGCAGTGGCGGTCAGGGGAATCTTGGTAGAAAACGCGGTAGTGGATACGGGAGCGCAGAGCGTCCTAATCGGGAAAAAGCTGACGGCACAACTGCGAGCGCAAGGGAACCTAGAGACTGTGAGCAAAGGCATACTGATCATGACAGCAAAAGGAGGGGCCCCCAAGTGGATGCCATGCACACGGGACCTGATAGAGATAACCTTACAGCCAGGAGAGAAGGGGGAGACCACTATCAGAGTGCAGTGTGGGTTAACAGAGTCAGAAGACTACGATATCCTACTAGGAATGGAGCTGCTGTTCAAGATAGGCACCACCATCTGTACCTGGCAGGAGCAGGTGCTTTATCGTTCGGACTTTTGGGAGGAAGGGAATGAGCTGAGCGAACTACCCGTACGGTTTGTCAAGACAGAACCGAAGAAGGCGTGGAGAGCAGAAGGACTGAGGAAAAATAGCAAGAGAAGTGGGAGTGAGGGGAAGAGCAACGTCAGCGCTCACCTGGATCAGTACAGCATTACACTAGTAGAGCTGTTCGGGGGAATAGGAGCGGGCTTGGCAGCAGCCTTGGAAGCAGGCCTGAGGGTGAAGAAGTGGGTATACGTGGAATTGGACCCAGAGGTGAGGAGAATGGCATGGAAGCATGCTGAAATGTTACAGCAGCAGTACCCCGCGCAGCTGACGAAGGAAGTGCTACGGGAGGCCATGCAGAACAAGAAATGGGACGTGGGGCAGATCACGAAAGAAGACGTGAGCAGCTGGGGTAAAGTGGATTTGTTAGTGGCGGGATGGGAGTGTCAGGGTACTTCTAGGGCCGGAAGGGGGAAAGGCTTGCAGGATGGGCGCACGGCGATGGTGACCAAGCTACTCACCATTATGAAGTGGACGAGGGAAGTGAACGGAGAATACGCTTACATCCTGGAGCATGTGGATATGAGGAGTGATGTACGTGAGCCGGTCAGGGCAGTGAGGGAGCTTGTGGAGGCAGAACTAGGGAGAGGAGTGAGCTGTGATGGGGCACAGTTGGGGGCACGCTGTCACAGGGTGCGTCAGTACTGGCAAAACGTCTTACCAGACGGGGAACTGAGGGCAAGATTAGCAAGAGTGGAGAGGGACGAAAGCAGGATAGTGGAGGATATTCTAGAACCTGGGAGAGTGGCGGCACCAGTGGTAAAACCAGATCATCCGCGGCAGTACCAGTGCAACCGGGTGGGGGAAGCTCGCAGGGCTTGGCCTACATTAGTGGCATACACCAGGGCTCAAGGTTTCATCGAGGTGAACGGAATACCAGGACCAGGAATGGTGTACGATCACCGGAAGAAGAAGTGGGAGGAACCGACGGCTTTGGAGCGGGAGTTAGCCATGGGATACCTGCCAGGAGCAACCGCAGCAGAAGGGGTAGAGGAAGGAGTGCGTAGAGCAGCTTTGGGAAGAGCCATAGATCAGCACTCGCTGAGATGGCTAATCAAGGAGATGAGGAAGGGGGCAGCTGATAAGGGAGGAGGGACCGGAAAGGAGCAAGGACGGGGTGATAAGCAGGCGGCATATGCAGCTGTGGGGCAGGGCACGGGCGGAAAGGAGAGCGTTGCGGCACCAGCAGGGGGCAAAGAAGCGGAGCATGGTAGGGAATGGGAGCTAGGTGCAGACATCGGGGGGCAGACGGCGGAAGCAATCAGGGAGGTGCTGCGGCAGCACAGGAACACTTTCGCATATAACCTGCAGGAATTGGGGAGGTACAAAGGAAGGGAGCTGGAGCTGAACCTCACCACAGAGATCCCCACTTACCAACGACGAAGGAGGATGAATGCAGAAGATGCGGCTATCTGCAAGGAGAAGTGTGAGGAGCTGCTAGCAGCAGGGATCATCCGCCCGTCCGAGTCAAGCTACGCAGCAGCCACAGTGGTAGCTGCCAGGAAGGATATCACGGGTAAGGTGCTGGCGAAAAGGATGTGTGGAGATTTTCGGGAGCTGAACAAGATTACCAGCCCGGACAGGTACCCCATGCCAACAGCAGAAGACATCTTTGATCGCTTAGAAGGCGCCATCATCTTCACCACTTTGGACCTGCGACAGGGGTTCAACCAAATAGCCATTAGGGAGGAAGACAAACGGAAGACGGCGTTTCACGGGGTGGATGGGCTGTATGAGTACAATGTGATGCCCTTCGGGATACGCAACGCCCCTGCAGTGTTCCAGCGGGCCATGGATCAGGTGCTGAAGGGGATTCCAGCAGCAGCCTGCTACATAGATGATATACTGATTTTCAGCAGCAGTGAAGAGCAGCACGTGCAAGATCTGAAGCGAACGCTAGATGCTATAGCAGCTGCGGGTCTGACGTGCCATCCAGACAAGTGCAAGATAGCAAGGCAGACCGTGGCTTACCTGGGCTTTGAAGTGAAAGGGGGCCGGCTGGCGATACAGGAAGCAAAGGTTAAGGTGCTGGAGAACCTGGCAGCACCAAAGGACAAGACCGGGCTGCGGGCGTTACTCGGCTTCCTGAATTATTACAGAAAGTTTGTACCGAACTTCAGCCGCCGAGCCTACGTACTGAATCAGCTGCTTAAGGAAGGGAGGAGCTGGCAGTGGGGAGAGCTGGAGGAAACGGCAAAGCAGGACCTGTTGGAAGCAGTACGAACGGGAACGCTGCTGCAGATACCGAGGGCAGATGCCCCTTTCATCTTATACACCGACTGGAGCAGCACAGGAATGGGGGCAGTGCTCTGCCAAGAGATAGAGGGAGAGGAGAGAGTGGTAGCCTTCGCCAGCCGCAGCTGCAGCCCATCAGAGGCTAACTATTGCTCTTACGAGGGGGAGGGCCTGACAGCTGTATGGGGGATCACTCATTTCAAGGTGTACCTGCAGGGTCGGCACTTCACTCTTGTGACTGATCACCAGCCGTTGTTGTGGTTGATGACTCATCAGGAGTTGACTGGAAGAAACGCTCGCTGGGCTATTAAGCTGCTGGGATTCGACTTTGAGATACGACATCGACCTGGGAAAATGCTGCAGCACGCAGATGGGTTATCAAGGAATCCGCCACCGATGCAGCCGGTAGCGCAGCTGGCAGCCCTGGCACAAGTAGCAGCGGTACCCTGGGGGCAGGAGAAAGGAAAGAAGCGGTTGGGGGATATATGGGAGGATGAGGAGACCCAGAGCTGGATCAAAGGGGAGCCATTAGAAGAGGAAGGAGTGAGCGAGAGAGCCAGGGCCCGAGGGCAGCATTTCAGGTGGTTTCAGGAACAGCTGCAGCTGAGAACCAACGAAGGGTGGAAGGTGGTGCCACAACCACAGGAGAGAGCCAAGATTATGGGGAATGTGCACGCGAAGCTGGGGCACTACGGCATAACCAGAACGCGGCAGCTGCTGAGCACCATGTACTGGTGGGCGAGCATGGGAAAGGATGTGGCAGGATTAGTGGCGAGCTGCGAGGCATGTCAGAGGAATAAAGCAAGGCTGGAGAAAGAGAGAGATGAGCTGCATTCTTTACCAATTCGCGGGTTGGGCTACAGGTGGTCGTTGGACCTCGCGGGAGAGCTGCCGCTGTCGAAAAGAGGGAATCAGTACATTCTGGTGATGGTTGAGCACACGAGTAAATGGGTGGAGGCGCGGGCGTTACCAAGCAAGAACAGCGCACTGATAGCTGACGCTTTTGAGGAGCTGGTGCTCACCAGGTATGGGGCATGCGGGGAGGTACTCACTGATCAAGGGACAGAGTTTCAGGGGAGCTTTGACGAGCTGCTAGAAGAGTTGGGTATCACGCACAGGGTCACCTCTAGGTACCATCCTCAATCGGACGGACTGACCGAGAGGCTCATACAGACCTTGAAGAAAGGACTTCGGGCCTACAGTGAGACCCACAAAAGGAGCTGGGACCGAGATCTCTGGTGGGTGCTGGCGGGGTACAGGTTCGCAAAGCAGGCGGCTCTGAGAAACCTATCCCCATACCACTTACTGTTCGGGCGGGATCCTGTGCTGCCGGTCGATGCACCGAAGCTGCTTTCCGCGGTTGTAGAGGCAGATGAGCCAAACCTGTGGGCGGAGTTAGCACAGCGGAGGGCAAAATACTTGAAGGAGCTGACTCCGGCAGCCCTGGATAACCTCCATGTGGCGCAGCTGCGGGACGCAAGACGATACCAGCAGCGTAAAGCATCAGGGATAGGAGGAAAGGGTGACAAGGTGGAGGCAGGGCAAGAGGTATACCTTCGCAAAGCTAAGCGCGACACGCTGGACTTAGCGGTGGGATCGGAGCGGTGGAAGGTGAAAGAGGTACGAGGCTCGGGAGTGTTAGTGCTGGAAGATATTCGAGGGGGAACCATCAAGGAACACATCACCAACGTGGCCAGGGCGGGACAGGGGAAGCCTCAGGCAGTGGGTCCCGTGACTCGAGCGGCAAAGATGGGCGCTGAGACACGGGAGGGGGCAGGGAAGCCTGAGGCACCAGGAGGAGTGCAGGACAGAGTGATTACATACGCCAGGAGGAAGAAGGGATGAATCTGATCAGCGTAGCGGGTGGCATGGAAGGAAGAAGAGAAGGAGAAATCAGCAGGATACGCAGGGGAGAGAGGGAATGAGGGTGGACAGAGGAAGATTCACGACAGCTGTCGCGTTATTAACACTTAGCTGGCAACTAAGTGTGAATACCACAGCAGCCAAGGTGAGGGTGTACTATAGTTTACCGCTTTTGTACTCTAATTTCATTTGTGTGCTTGGAATGTATTGTACTGTACTGCAGAGCCGAGTAGCTGGGGAATTTGAGGTGGTTAGTGGGAGGCGAATTCAAGGAGGTTGGTGGAGGCGAATTCAATTCCAGCCTGTGAATTCAATTTCGAAGTCACAAGGCTGGCAGGCGAATTCAATGCCAGCCTGGGAATTCAATTCGAAATTACCAGGCTGGAAGGCGGTGCATGCCTAGTGGGCCCAGTGGGAACACAGCTAGCACCTTGGAGACCTCGCGAGCAGCTCGGCTGACTCGCTTGGTGCACAGGAGCTTGCTTGTGGAGGAAGCAACCTAGGCAGGGGGTGGGAATAGATGTAGGCAGAAGTAGCACTCGGGCTTCTTGCTTTTTGCTTGTATGTTTCTCGTTTACTGCAATTTGCTTTCCTAATCCAGAGGGAGCTAGCAGTAGGAGAAGCTATAAGCAATCTGACGGAGCCCCTGAGGGGGAGTGTTATGCTTGCTACAGGGGAAGCCTCAGGCAGTGGGTCCCGTGACTCGAGCGGCAAAGATGGGCGCTGAGACACGGGAGGGGGCAGGGAAGCCTGAGGCACCAGGAGGAGTGCAGGACAGAGTGATTACATACGCCAGGAGGAAGAAGGGATGAATCTGATCAGCGTAGCGGGTGGCATGGAAGGAAGAAGAGAAGGAGAAATCAGCAGGATACGCAGGGGAGAGAGGGAATGAGGGTGGACAGAGGAAGATTCACGACACATGACTTAGCATTGACTGGCATGACTTAGCATTGACTGGCATGACTTCAACTAGTTGGAAGGGCATTGGCTGGCAATGACTTAGCATTGACTGGCATGACTTCAACTAGTTGGAAGGGCATTGGCTGGCAATGACTTAGCATTGACTGGCACAACATTGTGTTGACTAAAAGAGTATATTTTTGATTGGAAAAGCTCCAAGCACCTTACCTCCATCGCTTGAACACATGGCTTAGAGCTCTTGCAGCCGTAGCAGAAGCAACCTTTGGGTCGACTCAAAAGCCACCTCATTACCCCAGGCATAACACCTTCTTCTCTTCTACACACATAGCATGGGTATATATTGAATACAGGCGCCTCAGAAGACACCTGTACTGTACACGTATCACAGAGGCCCGTGTAGCTGCAGCAGATTATGAGAATTAACAAAAACAGCTACGCCCCAACCAAAAAGCTCACATCGATCACTTGTGCACGTGGCACAAAAGTCATGGCAGCCTTGGCAGAAGGCGCTGTAGTTGACCTGCCGAACCACACAGCTGGACGCTTCTGGTGGGCACGTGAAGCCCGAACCTGATATTTCGCTGTTAGATGGAAGGGGATGGGGGATTGAGGGGGTGAAAGAGGGAAAAGGGCAATCAGACGCAGAAGCGGGGAGTGCCAAGGCATGATGAGAGCACAGGAAAGGGACGGCAAAAAATGATTTGTGTTATGTGAAGAGAAGCATGTCTGATGCATGCCCTTGTTAGAAACGGGAAAGCAAGAGGGGATGATGGCGCAAGAGGGGATGATGGTGCAAGAGGGGATGATGATGGTGCAAGAGGGGATGATGATGAACAAGGGGCCGAGCCGAGCTGGGGTTGCCGGGATTTTAAAAAAACCACACCAGTACTCTTTGAAACTTTCCTTTGTTGGTCCTTGCCATGCCAAAGAGACGTTAATTACAAAGAAAATAAGCGACATCCTTTATTTCGTACTTTAATTCTTGGAACTTATAGGTTATGGAATTCACTAGCAACATGTTTTACTGCTCATTTTGTAGTTTAGTATAAGCACCCCTAAGGAAGATGAGATTCGAGGTAATAACCCTTCCAAGAACTCTAATTAATAACAAATAATAAAAATGAACATATCAACCTAAATGAGGCCACAAAAAACAGGCTCAGCATAAGCAGAGTTGACCAACTGAGTGCCCATTTTGTGATGCTTCGCCCGTTCAAGCATCGCCAGGCTGCTACTTTGCGACAGGGCTCTTCAACGAGCCGTCATGCTGAGGAGCCTTTTGGGCAGTTTGCAGCGGGTCACACACCGGCTTGTTGCCGGGTCAACAACACGAGGTGGAGTTGCTAAACCAGTTCTTGATGTTGTTCTCAAGCTTTGAGACGCCTCAACACGAGCCCGAGGCGCCACTCGAACAAACCGAGCAGTGGCTCATCCACATGCTCAGGCCTTACGCGGCAGGTAAATTTGGGGATGAAGATTGAGTGCAGCAGAATAGTGCAAGGGAAATGATTCCCATATGCGGTGTGCAGGTTTTTTGGTCTTGTGATTTCAGAAAACATCGGAGCACAATGCATGGGAAGGCACACTGAACATCAAGCCAAGTGCACAGCAGGTCGCATTGAAGTTCGAAGTGTTAATGTTAGCCCTCAATCTCACACTTTGTATTTTATACATTATACATCCTAGCGTTGTGTAGATTACACTTTGTGTTTTGTCGGGTGTACACCTACATCCCAACCAAACCCAAATGTAATCTCCAAGCAATCTCCAACCCACCAATTGGAGATTGTCTTGGGATTACCACCAATCCCTAGAGATTGCCCCCGATTCCCTTCCCCATCCATTGCTTGCCCATCTTGGATGTACTTAAAGAGCTTCAAGCTCATCGGTTCTAAGCTTAAGTTGTGACACAAAGCACACGGCACGGCACAGCAGGTTACTCACAGAAAGATGAGGCCTTTAGAGCCGCCAAGAGCAGCAGGTATGGGGCCTGAGAAATTGTTTTCATTGAGGTACCTGCAATACAATGGATGCGCAACCACACAGAGCACAGCACAGCAGGACATCCGAGAATATCGAAGGAGCGCCACAAATGTGCGCACAGGTGGATGTGGAGGAGCAAATACAGCAAATACAAAAGCCAATCCTGTAAACAACACAACAATGGCAACACGCTGAGCTCCAATGATTGGCCACTACCCCCATGTCCCTAAAGACAACCCGGAGGCCGTTTCAAGGAGGGGTGAGGGAGGAAGGGTGGGGTGGGTGGAGAGAAAAGCACGGGAAGGATGTGTGTGTTGTCGATGGCTGTGCGTGCAGATTTGTCTGGATGGCACTACACAAGAGCACAATGGCACATGTTGACAGTGCAGAAGACGGGAGGAGCAGCACAGAGCATCACAGTCACAACTTGATATTTGGAGGTGTAGGTAAGTTTTGCTCGAGGTTGCAATGAACGCACGGGATTGCTTGCAGCAGAACAGCAAAACAATGGGCAGAGCTGGTTTTTGAGAATTCTAAAAAACACAGGTCACACTGGCAATACAATGGGCAGGCCTGATACAATACAATACAATCAGTTGCTGTGCATGCATCACTTCACCCACTGCTGCCGTTTGAGTTCTGGGTCGACTCAAAAGTCACCTCGTTCTGAGTTGACTCAAAAGTCACCTCGTTTTGAGTCGACTCAAAAGTTACAATCAGTTGCCGTGCATGCATCACTTCACCCACTGCTGCTTCGATAGCGTGTCTCTTTGAGACAACGGGGGTGGGTAGTGCGCATGTCAATAGCACACGCGCAGCGCGGATTGAAAATAGTCAGATACCAACTGTACATGGGGAAACCATCACAATTTCCGCAATGCACTCACAGCCACCCAATGCTGGACATCTTGGCAATCCAGGGAGGAAATGAACCATTCAGCTTGTTGCGGTTGAGGAACCTGTGGAAGAGCAGAACGAACGACTTAGGTGCTTCAAGGGGAACGTGTGGAGTGGCAGAGTGAACCTTTCTCTTGAAGGCGCCTCAAGGAGGGACTGTACAAGAGCGTAGAGAACATCTTTTGAGGCGCCTCAAAAGTCACAAGAGCAGAGAGAATATCAGGTAAGCTGATGAGAATGTGGACTATCGTTGCCTCATCACGCAGCAACCATATATTCATCATCTGCGCCAACCAGTCATATGTTATATTGACTATTCAATCTTGTACTTCTACATCGTAATGAAGAGTAGCTGTTTTCATGGGTTGGTTGACACACCAATATCCCAACCGTACCCAAATGTCATCAACCGGAATCTCCAACCCACCAATTGGAGATTCCGGCTGATCTCATTAAGAACCACCCACAATTCACCATCTATAATTTCCAACTCACTTTCGATCTACTTGAGGAGCCTAGTGATGTTTTCTACTTATTGTGGTATTAGAGCTTCTAAATTACACACGTGGATCTCGACCTTTCCTATTAAAACTATATCCGTCACGTGACGCTCTCTAGTAGGGGGCTCTTAACTTTCGTGACGTGATGTGATTTTCTCCTGTGTCTTATCCTTGGTGGCTGAAAGTCGTTATGCTGACTTCTTTGTCGTCCATTCCCGACAATATGTGTATACTACATGACGCGAGGGTTGTGAAAGGGGTGTGACCAGAATAAGCCGTATACAAGCCGTTTTGGCACCCACATGCCCCTGCTGTCTCGTGAATTGTGACTCACAGCTGAAACAGGCGAGAGAGGCGAGAGAGGGTGGTAGGGAGTGTGCCAGTCAAGTCGTTGTTGGAAAGATCCCTGCGAGCTCATGAAAAGCAACACAGTGACACAGTGATGGCGTTTCTCCTGTGATAAGAAGGTACGATCGACAGAACCGCGAGGCATGGAGTGCAGGGCGCATATGTCAACGGGAGTTGGGTATTGGCCCCGTCCTCGCTTGGGCGGAGCCGACTTCGTGGTCGGGTGTAGGGTGCAGCCGACCTGCAGCAGTGGGCGAGTTGGTCGACGAGGTTGGTCGACCTGCACGGGGAGCCACTGCATGGGCGCCGACTTCGGGAGGGCGCCAACTTCGGGTGGTCGACCTGGGAAGTCGACCAGCCCTTCTGGTCGACCTGGGACGTCGACTTGCAGCTGGTCAACCAGGGAGTAGTGGTCGACCTAGGGAGGTCGACTAGAGGTGGCCGTCGACTTGGGTGGTCGACGGGCACGCACTGGAGCCTCTGGTCGACCTGGTTGCCCGGTCGACCAAGTTACCTGGGTGACGAGGTGCTGCGAAGGCTTGCGAAGGTCGCCCAGGTGGTTTTGGCGAGGACGACCTCGGTGATGGTATCCCGAGGTCGACGTGGTGCATCAGATGCAGTCGTCAGCACGAGGTGGACTTGGTGTGTGCGCTGTGCAGGTGACGAAGCAGTGCACGCCAATCATCTACGAGCACCTGCGAAGCGGGTGCGATGCTGGACTGCAGGAGCAACGCTGGCACGCCGTCGACTTGCGCTGTTGTCACGCCGTCGACCTGCAGCGTTGGCAAGCCGCGTCTCTGCACTGCTGGAGCGCGGTCGACCAAGTCGTGCTGGCACGCGGTCGACCGTGCTGCGCTGGCAGTCGACCTGCTTGCATCCTAGCTCTGATGTAGTCTTTCCTAGCCAACTTCATTGTATCATTGTTGTCAACTTTCTCTAGTGAAACTCTTGCCAAATTGCCTTGTGAACTAGCAAGCAGTGTGTGCACTAGGAAAACGACTAAGGACCGAGGAACGCAGAGATCACACGAGCACCCGTGCCTAGCCTGCAGCCTAGCTCCTGTTACTAGAGTTATCACCGCATGGTGCGGTGAGCGTGGACGGCACAACGACTTACCTTTCAGTCTAGTCGACTTAGTTGCACCTTACCTAAGTTGTTCGTAGGCCGGCAGCTGTGCGGTAGTCGCCATGGTAGGCGCCATAGGTGACACGGGGGTGGTGGACACCCTGGAGGCACGGCTGGAAAACGCGAGGAGGAAGCACGAGGCCAACGAGTATGGCGACCTGCCGTGGGCGGTCGTCGATGCTGGCATCCGTTCCTTGTGGGCGACGGAGCACCCTTCTCGGCCTGCTTCTCCTCGACCGGTGAACACCGAGGGCGGCGTCGACGTGGGCGTCAACGCCGGAGGCGACCAAGTCGGCAGCAGTGCGGGAGGCACGTCGAGGCAGCGTGGTGTGATTCACGCCGACGAAGTCGGCGGCGTTCAGACGCGAGGAATGCGGTCGTCGCATCTGCAGGGTTCTCGCAGGGCGACGTCGGAGGTCGACGGAGTGGGTCCGTGCCGATGTCGGCAACCCAGGTGACAGCAGGCGGGATTGCACCGAGCTACGGCTACTTCAAGTTTACGCCGGATAGGATCTCGGTGACTCCCCTACTGGTCGGCCGACCCGACATTCTCACCTGGAAGGAAGCTATTGAGCCCCAGCTGGAGATGGCCGGGCTCATCAACTTTGCTCGTGGTACCGTGGCGACGCCGAGCGACCCCGACTTGCGTGCGGAGTTTCGCGCCGTGCAGCTGCTGACCTTCACGGTCATCTCGCGGTGCTGCACGCCGGGCGTGCAGATCGCCCTGAAGTGGTGCAGGGAGTACCTCGACGCCGGCCACCAGGCGTGGCACTTTATTGAGTCGACGTACCAGGTCACCGACGACCTGTTTATCGCCCAGCTTGAAGGGCAGCTGACGCACTTGCGTATGGGCGACGAGGAGACGGCGACCGACTACTGCAACCGAGCCCGGCGAATTCTCGCCACCATCAGGATGGCCGGTGCGGAGTATTCGACGGCGTCGTACATCACCCATGTCATGCAGGGACTCCGGAGCAGCTACAACCTGTTGAAGCGGCTGTCCATGGCGCCGAGCACGAGGGCGACGCTCAACGAGGACAACCTAACCTCGTACATCCTGCAAGACGAGGCAATGCAGGAGGCAGAGCGGTCCCAGGAGCTGCTGGCGCAGGCGAACTTCGTCGCCCCAGCGAAGCAAGGCAGTCGACCGGGGCAGCGCGGACAGTCCGGTGGCAGTGGTAGCGGTGGCTCGAAGTCGGCCAAGGAGGTCGACAAGAAGAAGTCGACCAAGGACAACGGCCGAGGAGGAGGAAGTCGACGTCGGGAGTGCTGGCTGTGCGGCGACCCCGACCACCTCTCCTTCGAGTGCCCCGACCGCAGTGACTCGGACGACGACGACAAGGGAGGCCGCGGGAGGTCTGGCAGTCGTCGACCTCGTCGAGGAGGAAGTCAATCGCGCAAGGAGAAGCAGTCGACCAAGTCGTCGACCTCGGCGAAGGACGCCGACTCCTCTGCTGGCGGAAAGGGGAGCGACGACAAGTCGGCGTCGTGCTCCCTGGTCGGCGTTGTGGAGCCGACCGTCTCACTGGCGCCGGAGGCCGGTGAGGACTTTCAGGCGATGGCAGCAGCAGTGCAGGCGAACCCGGCGGTGGTCCTACTGGACAGCGGCTGCTCCCACCACCTGATGGGGACGAAGGAGGTCTTCGTCGACATGGGGCCGAGCGGCGACTTGAAGCACGTGCGTGGCTTCAATGGGGCGCTGCAAGACGTCCAGGGCCGGGGCACGGTTGCGTTGCAAGGCGAGGCCGGGAAGCAGGTTCTCATCCCCGACGTGCTGTACGTCCCGGGTGTGCGGGCCAACCTGTTGTCGTCCGGCCAGCTGAAGGAGCATGGCGTGAAGTTTCGGGAGGACGGCGATGGTGTGCTGCTCATCTCGGCAGCGGGAGAGGTGCTTGGTCGGGCGACGTACTCCGGGCGAGTCCTCTGCACCGACCTGCGTCCCTGCTCAACGAGGTCGACGTCGCCCACGCCGGAGGTTGTGGCCCTGCGGGCGATCGTCTCCAAGACGAAGTCGACGCCAAACAGGATGCATGCTCGGCTTGCGCACGTCGGCATGGACACCATCAGGAGCTCGGCGAAGCACGAGGTCGCCATTGGGCTGGACCTCAAGTCGGCGACGGGCACCGACTCACCGTGTGTCTCGTGCGTCGGTGGGAAGCTGGCGAGGCACACCTTCCCCGACCAAGGCTCCGACGCCGCCGACCTGCTAGCCGTCGTCCACATCGACTTGTGCGGGCCATTCCGGGTGGCTGCCAAGGATGGCAGCCTCTACTTCTTGCTGCTGAAGGACCGTCAGTCCCGCTACGTGTGGGTGAGGCCGGTCGCCAAGAAGTCGGATGTGCTGCTGGAGTTCCAGAAGTGGCTGGTGCTGGTGGAGTGGCAGATGAAGAAGTCGGTGCTGATGCTGCGCTCGGACCGAGGCGGGGAGTTCCTCGGGAAGACGTTCACCGACTTCGTGGACGGCAAGGGGATCGTCCACGACTTGACCTGCCCGTACACCCCGCAGCAGAACGGCATGGCGGAGCGGGAGATGCGGACGGTGGTGGAGTCGGTGAGGACAATGCTGCTGCACATGGGCGTGCAGCACCATTGGTGGCACCTCGCCCTGCGGCAGGCCGTCTGGATCCGCAACTGCCTGGAGCGATCGGCGACGCCGGGGACGACGCCGTACCAGCTGCTGACCGGGACGAAGCCCGACTTGTCGCTGGCGCGCGTGTGGGGCTGCATGGCGCAGTTCCTCGTCCCCGAGCAGCAGCGTGGTGGGAAGCTGAAGCCAAAGGCCAAGTGGGGCCTTCACCTCGGTGTGTCGGAGGCGAGCAAGGGATGGGAGCTCCTCGACATTGCCGCCAACCGGGTGGTCACCACGTCGGACGTGGTGTTCTACGAGGACCTGTCGTTGGAGGAGTGGAAGTCGGCGCATGGGCCGGTGTCAGGGCGGACGCTAGTGTCCACGCCGACGGATACCTCGACGGCAACGCTCCCTCTACTCGCCGAGGTCGGTGAGCTTGCTGTGGACGACGCCGAGGTCGACCACCCTTCCTTTCCCTCCCCTGCCCCTCCCCTCGTCGACCTTCGTGGGCTGACTCCGT